AAATGCCAGCTGACAAAATAAAGGATTAAAAGTTCTTTCGTTTTGTTAGGAATACAATATGATCCTAACGGAGTTAAAATAGTCGCGCAATGCCAAAGATAGCTCCATTAAAGACGTTGCGGTGCTGTCACTTAAATCAGCGCTAGCGGTTCAGCTGTTCATAATAAATAAATGGTTGATTCCTCGATTGTTTTTTTTCTTCTTCTATTTGACGAACATATGTTTCAATTTGTTTTTGCTGTACGAGGGAGGTAAAAAATGTTTTCATAAGTTGCTTCTGCATTTGCGCTGTAACTTACAGCAAAAAGGTCGAAACTCTACTATTAATTTCAAGATAGAGGCAAAAAACTGTTTTGTTGCCCCATTGCCATCTCATCAGCTCATAATTTTTGAAATTTTACATCAGTCACCTGGTGTGAGCATTTTTTTCGCTGTTAGATCAATGCAAATGCAGATGCAAAATAAATTATAAAAATGGAAGCTTCTGAGGAAAACAAATGGTTCGCCACATCGAAAAGGCACCTCAACATAGAATTTGCAAGATTTCGATTACTCGCATTTTTGAAACAGAGATAGGTACAGAATATTTTCTTGTATGCTTTGTATCTGTGTTTTGAATAAAAACAAATATATATATAAACAATACTGTTTTATTTATATGAACAAAGAGACAAAGAAAAAACTAGAAAAAGAAAAAAGAGGAAAGAAACAACAAAAACATGCTATTCTGAGACTTTCTGTACAATAAACAAAAATACCAATTTTACAAAATTTGACGGTTTATGTACAAATAGGAAGTATTAGAAATGGTTAAATAATACGTAATGAGAAGCAGTAAGTATGGTATGTACAACTAGTGAACTGAAAGTAAAGTATTAAAAAAAGGGGGAAAATGAGCAGATAGTTATGGTATATTCATCACATTTTGACACATCAAGCTAGGACTCCAGTTTCCTCTTTTTCATTCTCCCTCACAACAATAATGTAACAAAAATACAGCAAAAATATTTTCCTATACTTTGGCTTCTAAAAATCTACTTATAAGTTTACTTTCCTTGGAAAATATCAATTTAAAACTATGAGTGAGTATTGACCTAAAAAACAGCCCTAACAACATCACAGATTATTCCAAAATTTCCTCTAGCTTTCACACGCTTCTAGGAGAGTCAAATCTCTTAAAGTTGATCCAAAAAAAGGTCATAGTAGTGTAAAACAGCAGGTCGAAAATTAAAACAAAAAGAATGAAAATTACTGGCGTTAAGGATATATTTAAGAAATTATGAAGCTTCATGAAGAAACATTCTCTCTTAGAGGGATGAAGGAAGATAAAAGAAGAGATAAAATAGTTCAGTAGTTAGTCAACCAACTAAAACTTACAGAACTTAAAAACCAATTTCAAAACTTTTTCTTGCACAAATGGATTACATAATACCTCATTGCATTACGCTCCAAAATTGTCTAGATTTTTTGCTTCTGGTATAAGATACATCAAACGCCAATTACACTACAATATGAGTTTCATGGTTGCGTATCTGATTATTTGTTTTTCTAGTAGTATATCTTCTTCAGAATGCTAAAAAAAATTGCAGGGGCTAAGGTACCTACAGTTACATATTTTACAGATCATTTTGAACAACAATTTTTTTTTTTCACTCTAATTTCAAAGCTTGATTAAAAATCTTCTGCATGAATTAATAGAAATGCATAATACTCAGGATTAGATTTAAAATTTGCCTAATCGTAAGCATGCGCTGCAGGGCAGAGAGAAAATTTTGAATACTTTCTGGCTGACACCACAAATTTCCTTCAAAAGAGAAATTAAAATTAAATCCAAATTTCATAACCTTTCTGCTAGAAAGGACATTATATCAAAGACTTACTATGATGAACACAGCAATATTTAAAAAAAAAAAACCTTCCGTTTCAAATGCTGATTTTTAAGAATAAATGGGGTCAATTCTTGCAATGAATTTGCTCTTGACCAGTTACTACAGTCAAACTGATCTTGTTATATGTTCCACAACAGAAATATTAACAGGCATCAGAATTCTGCTTGATAAGATAATTGAGAACCTCAAAGTTTGTGAATACAATGAGAGAGTCTAGGAGCGACTGAGAAAGTTGCGAAACTGTTCAGAAATGTACAGTGAAAAAATACAATTGTACAATGGGTAAGAGAAAAAAAGCTTTGAAACAAGGCAAATGTAACATCATTTGTCAAACAGGCATGTAGGTTAACTGGAAACAAATGATTTCATGACTAGAAAGTACGTTCACCCTAAGTATCAATCGCTATTTAAAACAGACATTAATCAGCTTTCTGGGAGAGGAAAGCATAACAATGGCTCAGTTGTGTATGTTATGGATCTAAGTTTTAACAGAAGAATGTTGTTTTCTGATTATGCTTCTATCTATGGTGCAAGGTGTGAAAGCCATACTTCATCAATGATCCTTTTATTTAGACTTATAAAAAGAAGTCTAACTACATACATTACTGTAACATTACTGGTCCTTGAACTTTCTAACATCCTTTAAAATATTACTGAGTGAATGTTTGGTAAATATTTCACATGAAAAATCTCATCATAAGAAGGAACATGCTGAAATTTCAAATTTAGCACTTACATTAAGACTATAAGGTGAAGTTATCTTATACTACAGAAGGAACATAGAAAAACATAATTACAAGACCAAGTGTGAAAAAATTATAACTTTTTTAACTAAAATGAGATAATTTCCCTATATGAGGACTGTTTTCCAATATTTCTCATGATCAGTGAAATAAAAAATGAACATCAATCTGCCGTAGGCATTGACCTGCTCACTTTTCCAGGAGACTTGTCCCTTCTGGGTAAGATCAAAAAAGTTGAAAGTTATTAACAATGAACTGATAAAAAGTAAGCAAAAGAGACTGACTGATGAAAGTTTTTTTTCAATTCCAGATTCATCCTCGAAACATCAAAAATTTGAAATACAGACTTGAGATTACGGGTCTAAAACAAAAATCAAGAACCCAAATGAACTGAAAATTGATGAATCAACATTAGATCAGAACATTATGAAGAGGCACTGCGCAAATTTAATGTTCAATGAATGGTGACAATTTTTTTCAAAGGGAATTCTTTATTACCATTTAGTCTGTCTTTTAAGCTCTGAGAAAAAAGAGGAAATTGAAGAAGAAAAATTAGAATTAAACTTATAATAAAGAGTACACAAAATTTTAAAATCGGAATCCCACACATCCAAATAGTACCAGAACAATTGTCTACGGAATTTGAATCATTCCGTCTCCACTAATTTCGCTGGAACTTTTCAGAGCCTTACAACGAGGAAAATACTTTTTGAGAACTAAATTAGATTATAACAGTAAAAACATTTTTTTAAAAAAGGAAGAAAATTCACAGACTTTCCTTCAGATTACAATAAATTAAATTTAAACGTAATGACTAGAGATTGAAACCATCCTGCCTCCTGTAATAACTCAAATGGTCAAAACTCACACACACTAAATGAAAAAATATAAAAGGAAAGGGCTTTACTTTAGATGCAAATCCAAAGATTCTCGCAAAGAGACTGCAGATAGATAAAGCAAATATAAAAGACTGCCTAGAGTGCTCTCTGAGAAAAATACTATTCAACAAGTAGGACCACAACTTACGCAACTAAATAAAAAAAATCAATTACACCAAAAAAAAAAAAAAGAAAACAAAAAACCCATCCTATGTGAAAAAGTATAAAATTAAGAGTGTAAAAAGCATTACAAAAGGCGAATCTTTTCACTAGTCTTTTCGAAAAATTAATAGGCGGCAGCCACCTGCCGTATCCACTGTTCAGCTAGGGAGTTTTTTTGGGATTGGGCCGGGGTGGCTACTACCACCTAAAATAAATAAATATTTCAATATGTTGCTTGATTAAATGCAAGTATACAGAAGTAATACAGGAAAAAAATCACGAAAAGAGAAAAATGTAAAATAAATATAACTAAGCCTAAGGTTAAAGTAGTAGTAGCAGCAGATAAGTAACTGGTGAATTCATTTCTTTCAGTGTTCAAAATTGACCTAGATATGTTATGTTTCAAGTGAGAAGTGGATACATTTTGAAAGAAACTACAGCACTCTGTCTCTTGCTATAGGTACATATAAAATCTGCAAAAATCTAAAAAGAATTTTGTTAAAGAAAAATTTTCATTAGTGACGATTAGTGTTCAACGATCATAGGAAGTTCAAGGGACAGCATTATTCCTTTGTTATAGATAATTTTCTATTAAAGCCATTATAGTTGTTGAGGAGCCCTGTAATTTCAATATTTTATGATTCAAGTTATTTCTTCAGGGCTGCAAAAATATGTTTGATAAGAGAGAGAATTTTCTTTCCTGTAGAGAAACTGTTTTTGAAAATTTACTAGTATCTTAAAGGCTTGCAAATAAACAAAAATGAGAAAATAACGATCAAGAAAAAAGAAAACCTATAAGTGAAAGATTATCAAGACAGAGATTCTATTTTGTAAATTTATTACAATACTCTTCTCATTCAACTCAAATTAAAGCCTCCGTTAATTTTGAACACTGATTTAGTCATAAAATAAAATACAGTAGAAATACATACTAAGCTTAATCAATCCGTTCCTGACATGGAGCTATTCTAGTAAAAAGTCTTTTACCTACAACAGCTCTCATCATACATGCTTAGCTAGTTTTGGTGGACTAAAGAATACTCCTTTAACAGAATTGGACTACATTTTTCAATTAGGAACAACTATTGAGGACTCATTTTAAAAACGACATAGGTTTTTCTAGTTTCCTCGTGCAGGTAAGTATTTTTCCGCATAAGCTAGAATTTATAGTTCCTTATTGCAAAATGTAGTCCAATTGAAGGTGGAACAACATAAATGTGAGAAGAGCTTGACTAACAGCAGTTCCTCTCAAAAGAGAAAGACACTCACAGAATGAATGTCAGGTACAAAAATAGAAAATGCCGGTACTTACAAATAGGAATGATTGGGGTTAGGTTATTATTTATCACTGGCAGGTTTCATGGGCGCTGGTATATCTATTGTTTGACTGTTTAAACTGTAGCCTGTTATGCTATCAGGGCTTTGGAGGGAGGCTGAATAAAGCATATTTCCGTGACCACCGCCTGTGAACTGTGTGCTATCGTAGGCTCCGTTACCCTGAAAAAGTACACCAATTATTGACAACGTCTCTGTTAAAATTTCACTTTGGGTTTTCTTGATATTATGAATGAGATTTCCTGATTTTTTCACAAATAAATTGACACTCGTTTAATTTTGCAAACCAACATATTTTAAGAATTGCATCAAATTTGTTCACTTTTTTCAGCCATGAACTGCATTATGTTGTAAAATGCTCATGACACTCAAAATTTCGTGTTTCATGACCAATTTTTCTGAATTTTCCTGATGGCATCGAGTTTCCTGATGTTTTCTGGTTTCTCCAGTGTCAAATGACAGTAGACACCCTGATTAACAACTAACAATAAAGCTCCTCCTTTCAACAGTATGTTTGATGATGGTACGGATAAGAAAGGATTACATTACTATATTCAGAAGTAAAGATAAGTGTACACTAAGGCAGCCCGAGAACATGGATATAAAATAGGATAAGAAAAGGCAGGGGCAAGGCTGGAAAAGCACAGTAATATGCAAAACATGGGACATTTTGACCGATCTCCCAGGCATTATCAACCGTCAAAAAAGAATTAAAAGATCTAAAAAAAACAAAAGCTTAAAAAATCAATGTTATCAGTCCGTGGTCATGGCAGCAAAAAGACAAGGTTATTCCACCCAGGCCTCCCAGAAAAACAAGGGAACATTAATTAAATTAATTGAATAAAACAATTAATTAATTTAATTTTTTTGTTGAAAATCTGGATCAATTGAAGTTAATATTATCGGAATGATAAGCATAACAGAAGTATTAATGTTTTTTGAATTAAAATTCCTAATAATTATAGACGATCTTTTAGGAATTCTGTGAGTAACAATGTAAAATATGAAAATTCTATATAGTGATCTTAAAAATATAATTACTATAATTAAAAGAATTGTTATATTGTTTAAAGATCAGTTAACTACTATATTACTTTATGTATATATTATTCTACCTCTCCTTCTCTATTGCTAATGATTAATATATATATTATTCTACCTCTCCTTCTCTATTGCTAATGATTAATATATATATTATTCTACCTCTCCTTCTCTATTGCTAATGAAATATATATGTATTATTCTACCTCTCCTTCTCTATTGCTAATGATTAATATCTTTTTTAATTATAGATCACCTTCTGCCCTCATGTGGGCGGAATATCCATTAATGTTCACTTCTTTTTCCAGGAGGCCTGGGTGGAATGACCTTGCCTTCTTGCTGCCATGATCACGGACCAGTAACATTGTTTTTCTTAGCTTTTGTTTTTTTTTTTTACATTTTTTAATCATTTTTCAACGGTTGATAATGACTGGAAGACTGGTCGAAGCATTCCGTGTTTTGTAAATTATTGTGTTTTTTTCAGCCTCATCCCCACCTTTTCTTGTCCTGTTTTATATCTATAATTGGAAATGTAGTCTGCTGAATCAGCAGCACTTATTAAATTTAATTCGTTCACTTGAAGTACTGAGTAGTAAGTTGAGCTCCTAGAAATTTTCTCTTATTTTTTTTACTCAAAGAAAATCGATTTTGAAATTGCAGAAATCTGGTCCTGTTTGAAACAATATTTTTGACAGTCTGCTATAACATCAGTAGGGAAGGGAGCCTGCACTTGCTGATTGGCCTCGCCAAAGACATGGCTTGATGACGTCATCACTACTGTTGGCCTTTGATTGGCCCAATTTTGATCAGGGTTTTCTCCCTTTATAAGTGTTTTTTTAAATGTTTCAATGGACCTTTTGGTTTTTCATGAAGTTTTAATTTAGGAACATCTGTCGGATACTCTGTAAGAATTTTATACTGGTAACCTCTTTATTACCAAGTAAAAAATTTACCTGATAAATATAATCAGAGTCAGTTTTAAGCGAAGAAAAACTCTGCTGATGTGGAAGGGACACAGTATCATCATCCATGTTATCTTCAATTTGAGCTTTGTATGAAAACATAATACTAGATTGTGCTATACTGTAAAAGAAAGAAAACATGGGATTAAACTTGGTTTATTTATGAAGAAACTAAAATGAGTAATTACATTCTGAAATTTTTGGTGGGTTACATGCATAGTTCTTTTTAACACAGACAGAAAAATCTACCCGCCAAGGATTATCGTTCAAGCTGAGAATTTAGAGTGCATATTTTTGAAAGACTAAAGAGCTAGGTTGTAATGCTTGAAACACATGGCGATGGTTAAAGTATGAAACGCCGTACCACCATTCATGACGTTGTAGACTTCCAGTCATAAGTGCTATATTTTTGCTTAGAAAAACTTATCAGTGAAATTTCTTGCAAAATCCCTTGATTTCCTTCTCAGTTAGTTGAATATTCTGTACCTATGAATTTCAAGCAATGAAGTTGACTTATTTTGTGGCGGCACAGCTCTCGCATACATCATCTCAATGATGCACGTGGCGTGCCGACGTGCCTGCTCCAAGCAGTTTAAACTTCAGCCACTGGTTACAGTTTGATCGCTCGGTTCCCTATCGCAAAGTTGTGCAATACCAACCTGGTGGGGAGTCGGCGATCGACTATAAATAGTGGCCTAGGCATATGCCGGGCAACCAGTGACAGTGTGAAATTCAAAGAGACCAGTTCTTTCAATCTCAGTACAGACCCGTTCACCCTCCACGGTACAGACCCGTAAACCGTTCACGGCGAAGACTCGTGCATAGAACTTAGTACTTAGAAATTAAGAACTTTGTATATATACGTGAAACAATGCAACTTATTTAATATAATATGTGTCAGTAGCCTGCGTATTATCATTACCCAAAAACCCACCAAACCACCCCCCCTCACAATTTCTCTTCAAAACAATAGAATAGGAGCGTAAATTTTGAGACACTGCGATGGTGATACATGATTACACTTTGGTCATCGATCTACTACAAACTGATGAGTGAGAATCTTTCTTTCACTTTTACTTTCAGGCTTTCTAAAAAAGTTTTCACCATGAAATTAGCGTGCCATTACAATATTAACTATCAATATGACTGTAAATTTTTGAGAACAAAATTTCAAAGCGTCAGAAAATAAAATATTGAACTTCTTTGGTCCCTTCATGGAATATAGAACTCAATTGTCACTTTATAGAACTTATTTTTGTCCGCCTCAGTCGCTTGCAGAGGGAGATACCACATATTCAGGTAATTTTGGCTTTTGTCTTTAGCTAAACGTTTTAGTTTGTGGTGGAATTTTCTATAGGTAAGGGAGATTTCATTTTTGGGGGTTACTCACCTAAAGAAATCACTGAGAAAAGCTACATATACAAGTGGCGTGAAAAGAGTATAATAGATACATGTTGTAACATCGACAACACATATTCCTTGCAGGTTGTTGAACAGAAGAAGACCACTGCCAACTGCCTGACTCAGATTCAGCAGCATTAGTAGTAAGACATAGGCGTAGAATGATTTTTTTGCTGAAACAGAACCAACCCTCTCATTTTAGAGATGGAAAATCTATGGCCCCACTTGAGAGCTTCTCTATAAAAATTAAGATGTATATTGTTCCTTATTCTAAAATTAAACAATGAAATGTTGAAGGGTGACGCAATTATTTGCAAATATTAAGGCATGCAATAATGGAGGCGCTATAGTAAAGGCCCTTTGTACTGAATTAAAACGAATCTGAAAGAATCAGTAATTTAAAGATTTTTGTACCTGCAGACATTCACTTTAGTACCGAATGAACTCTTATTTAGGTTGAAGTTCCTTAGTTAAATTTAAAAAAAAAAAAAAAAAAAAAAAAAAAAAAAAAAAAAAAAAATATTTAAAATATGTTTCCACTCACATCACATCCAATTTTATAAAATTTTACATCCATATGAGTGGAAAGATATTTTAATACTTTACAGTTCCTACATTTGAGAGACCTTAAAACCAGAGATGATGGATTTTTAATTTTTCCTCCTACATTGATTGCATTACTTTCATCAACCAAGGGGTGTGAAAACTTTTTGATGCAGGAGAAACTGCAAAAAACAAGTTTTAAAAAAAAGGAGTCACCAAAAGAGGTCATGAGAGTGAGAGGGCCTGTTTGTATCAGTGTGGAAATGACGACCATTTTCAAGGTACGAGAGAGAGCAAAAAATGGTATCATTTTTGAAAACTTGGGGGAAAAGGAGAGTTTCATGATATGTACGCTAAGCTAAGAGCCTTCGGCATCTCTACACTATCTTCAAGGCTAGAAACGAAGTGAAGAAAAATCTCCAAAATAAAACAATATAAAAAAAAAAAGTGTTCTTACCAGGTAATGGTAGGCGTTCTCGAAGTTTCGTCCATGGAAGGATAAATATCACCATGTATATCTGAAAAATTCAGAGCATGATGAGAGATCAGGGAAAAAAATCCTTGTGTAGTGATTTGCAAACAATTCAAGTCGTTAAAAAAATGCGATTAATGGACAGTTATGCGGAAAATTGTAAATGGTACCTATGCAATAAAAATATTACATCTGGAAAAGTAGTAGTTCCTGCGCTTCTGACTATCCTAAAAATATGTTTTCTGGATTAGAGTCTGACAATCAATTGGAAATGAATTCATTTTAAAGAAAAAAATTTGCCAGATAGAATAACCAAACAAAGGAGAATGAAGGTTATTTCAGGTCCAAAATTTCAGAACTGCTACTCTCTACTTTGTCTTGTTGCAAACAAATTTTCACAGATTAACCCACTCAGTTTAGCTGATTCAGAGTTGAAAATAACTTGTTGGATGGAAATAACTTGTTGGATGGCAAAAACATCAAACATTCTGCAGTAGACAATTTAGCATGCATTGAATGTATTTGTAAGTATGAGTTGGATTGCATTTTGCAAAAAGGAACCACTAGCATTGCAATGATGCTAAGATTGAGCAACTTCATTCTTTGCAATAAAGTTGCGGAAATCGTGAAAAACTATGAAATTTAGATGGTAATTTTTGTCTTAAATTCACAGTTTTTAGCAAGTAAAATAGAAACTATTAATGGATAATCGGGTTTTTCCTCCAAGACAAAAGAAGTTGCACAATCTTAGCAACATTGCAATGCTAGTGGTTCCCTTTTGCAAAATGCAATCCAGTTCTTCTTCCTTGCTTTTATATCTGAATTTGAATGATGCAGCTAGAGACAAGACCACAAGAAAAGGTTGTATTTTTCTTGATTTTCTGGAATTTTCTTTCCTGAAGATGGTGCCTCTTTGCCTAAAAATGGTCACCATCAATAAACTCAAAAACGCAAAAAAATGAGAGTGAGTCAAAACTTCAGAAAACAATTCCTGAAAATTATAAAATTTTCTTTGTAATTTGCATCCAAGCTTACCAGGGTAAAGATGACAGAGCTGACACACCAAAATAGCATTCCACCGTGACCAAAAATTCGGTTGTCACTCAATCCAAAGCTAACGTTCTTGTCCGGCTGGAATATCTCAAGCGCTCCTTGCATTGTAGAATAACCAAACGAAATGAATGATGTAGTGAGCAGAACATACCGTATACTGCTGCGACTATCTAGATGACCTGAAACATTAAAAATTACATCAGTGTGATAAATAGGGATATACTTTAGTATTGTTGGGAAACATGATACAATCTGATACTTGTTATAAATTATTTTATAAAGGAAAGGGAGTAAAATGTAAAATATCAAACTGCTGACCACTGCAGTGATTTTTTCCTAATATACTATTGCTAAAGCTGCGCAATCACCAAAAATATTCTCATACAATTTATGATGGCTTTTCAAACCAATATTGAAAACTTTACATTCAGCTCTAACTAGTAAAAGCCTTCTGAATAGATGAGGAGATTTAGAATTGTGATATTAAATTAGCAGCAGCCTGATTGTTGAAATTGTTTGTTTGTCGGGACGACATAGATGACATAGGTTAAAAGGCGAAGCGTGATTGGTCGGCTATGTCTTATCGCTGCTTTGTCGTGCCTATGTCGGGTTGACCTCTGGACAAGCTAACGGCACCACATAAGTTTCCGACAGTATGTCGATCATTCCACCCAACAAAGGCACAACAAAGCAGCGATAAGACATAGCAGACCAATCACGCTCCTCCTTTTAACCTATGTCATCTATGTCGCCCCGACAAACAAAAAATTTCAACAATCAGGCTGCTGGACTTGCAAAATTGTTTAGGCAACTTTTCCAAATTAGGAGTATTCTAGGACTTATAAGTTAGGAAATTAATTTTAATTAAGGGAGATCTGTTTGACCAGGGCCATAAAAAAGTGTAAAATTATGCACACATTTTTTCCTATAAATTCTCGGCATTTTATTACTTTGTTGACAATGCACTGCAACAAAATATGTGCCTTAATAAACAGTCATGAGACTTACAGTTCAGATGAGGCTGCTGAAAAGGATTTCTTGTCAGGGTAAACACTGATAAGAAGGCAGTGAAAGAATGATTCCTACTCACAATCAGTAGATTTTTGAGGTTCAGATCACTTCTCTCTTTCCCTAGCCTTACATTTATTTATTTTAAACGTTTAGTGCATGAAATCAAATTGGCTATGATGCAGGTCATGAATGGCAGTAAAAAAAAATAATAACAATTGTGTTAAATAACTAACTGGGACAGCTTTTAAATTTACCAAGTCCATTACGGTTTTAGCGAAATTCAGGGGGCATTTAAAAATTCATCTAAGCCTAGCCCTACCTTAACATAAAAAAATCAAATTGTACAAACCAAATGCAAGACCAAAGACAACGACACTCATTTCCGTTGACAGTAAGAAGAAGCGAACAGTGACCCAAAGGACAATATCAATGTAGCTGCCTTCAATTGCCGCAGCACTCATTAACATAGAGGCAATGCAGCGAACAACACTCATTACTGTATTCAAAACCACCTGGAAAATAAAGGATACGGTGAGCACATTCTTGCTAGATGCAACTAAGAAAATTGCATGACAATTCACTCATTGGGGATGGGCAACCTCAATCAAGAATTTAGAAATAATATTTCAACTGTTTTTCCTTAGATCCAAGATATTGGATGCAGAAAAAGGGACAAGTTTGTGCATCAGTTAAACTGTAAGGTGTATTTCTTTACATGATTTGTCTCGGACCTATGACTTATCAGCCAGTTGCTTTGGGTACAACACAAGGAAGATATGCGTATGTTTTTCCTTGCATTTTGTTGTTTTTTTGACAAATGCAGTATTTTTCCCAATATCTGCCTATTCATCAGAGTAGTGACGTTTGTGCTGAAAAACTTAAAAACTAAGATATCAGTACAATTTCTTAAAGATGAGTACCTATTTTAAGAACATTTTTAAACAAGAAAAAAATAAGGGAGTCAAATCAAACTTCTTAAAGATGCGCTATACAAAACGTAGCTGAGAAAAAAAGCTACTTGAAGTCTTTATCTACAGTTTTGAGTCTAACGATTGGCAAATTAAATACGATAAACAGCATAAAACTGAACTGTGGGAAAACAAAGAGTCAAAAACTCAAATTTTTTTTTGACCTGACTTGAAGACAATTGCTCTGCTGCCAAATATTCGTAAGTGTACTGAGTTCAGATTTCCCTTGGATGGTTACGCAAGTATCTACTTTCCTACTGTCAGTTCTTCAGGGAGTAAAAAAAAAAAAATTTGGCTACATCCTCTTTTTTATGAAATTATCTATCATGCAGATAGAATGGGTTGCAATAGTTCCGCGTTCAGATATTCAACCACTAAATGAATGTAACTTGTAATGTAATTCATTTAATCTTATATCAAAGCTTCATATTGATACATTAAAACCTCAAACTGAAGGCAAGTATAACATTTTCGTGTTTAAAAGAAAATAAGTTTTCCATTTATGGACAATTAAACGTGTGGCAGATATTGTGATTTTCGGAGTTACTTGGAACTAATGCAATCCTCAAATTGATACTGCTGAAAAAAACAGTGAATTAAGCTTACCAGTCCATAAAATGCGAGAAAAATAGGGCTGCTCGTTGCCCTGAGTTTTAAAATTGCTCGATTGAAACGAAATCCAAGGAAGAGCAGGAATATTAAATTTGGAACAAGAATGATGACATCCCAAACACGAATCCTGCGTAAAAAAAATTCATTAAAATTATAAAAATAAATCATATAGATGGTAAGATGGTACCATTCAAAATGAAAAGGTAATTTTAAATACTTAGACTACCTACTTAGGATTTTTCAAACTAAAAAAAAAGAAGAAAAAAAGAAAAGAAAAAAAAGAGTTTCTATAATAGGCCACTAGACAAGTTATGAATTGTAACACCTTGAAACATATTTTCTTTCGACACTTTGCGACGAAATCAAATAGCACGACAGGAAGTCTGAAAATCAACTCTTTATCAAGATTTAAGGGTTTACAATTAATACTGTTTGGAGGACAAAAAGTCAAAAGACTTCATTTTTATGATGTAAATTTAATTTGAACCATGACAAATACTTATTCATATTTCCCTCAGGAGTTGATTCCCAAACTTCCTGTTGTGTGAATCGTTTTCTTTGTAGGATTTTGGAGAGAAAACGACAGACGTTCTTTCTAATTCCGACCTTGTCTAGTGGCCCACAAAGATTTTTGGCAAGGGAACAAAGATCAGTTGGGCTTTTTCAAAATTGCCATGAAAAGTAGATGGCCTACCAAGAAAATTCCTTCGTAAAATTTGCAAAATTTGGATGAATCACGAGGAGAATCCTTCACTTATTTCCCTGGGACTTTTGATACATTTTTAATCCATACTTCCAGTATTGAAATAACATGAAATAAAATAGTGTTGCGGTATGCTTTTCCCTTGAATTTATTGATAAAAAAAAAGAAAATTTAACATACTTAGTGTTGGGCACATCCATATAGAGGATCAATTTGCACAGATGATCATTTTCAGGTATTGTTGTTTGCGAGCTGTTGGCATCAGATATCTGGTCCATTGTGATGAAAACGAAGATCTGCTTTGCCTGTTAATTCTAAAAGCAGAGAGAAATAGATTAAAAAGTGGTAAAACCGAGGACAAGTAAGTGCATCAATCTTGGTATAAAAAAATCAAATAAAAGAGTATGTGTAATTAAGTGCTTTAAGAAGGGGTAAGGCTGGCCTAGCAAGAAAAAGGAGATGGTGATGGAAGCTCAACCGCAATTGGTAAAGGAGTGGAGTTGTAATACATCACTAGCTTCTGGTCTAATCAGTAAATCAGGCACTATCAAAAATTTGTTAACTTACATGGATTTGTTAGATTTTTTGGATTTAACGTTAACCGGTCTGAAATAAATTAAAGCTGGCTTAGGGTAATGAAAGCGTGACTGGAAGTAAAAATAATATATTTGAAAATCTTGTGCTTGCATATAAAGGTAAAAATCCGACATTTCATGGATCTTCATTTTTAACTATAATTAGCTACCTAGTTCAGTAAAGGGGAATTTGATGCAGTATAAGTACGGACAGGTCTGGGTTCTTTCCGCTAGGTGGCTTTATAGGTTAGTAAAAGTTGGAGAGACTCACATTCAGTGAAACAAATGGGATGGTTGAGGAGATGTCGGATACTCTCATTACAAACTTTGTAATTTCTATGCTTTCACATTAAGTAAGCAATTGCACAACTAATCCAAGGTTAATAATTTTACAACCAGTTTTGTCTTGAGCCAACTAGGGACACTGGATTAATTACTGACCATGAAAGTTGGATTAACTATTATCTTTAAATACCTTGTGCTCCGATTTAGGCTGCTCTGGTGACAGAGGGGATATATAAGCCTTAAACATGCAAGTCCGATGATTGTTCCTTGGGATTGCGTAGGATTCATTGATAAAGAGTTGAGTGGGGCAGCTGCTGTATTTCTTAACGTAATGATAGTGGTCAGCTGCTCTAGATATGAGTCATGGAATGTTGATGAATTTATATTGACTGCGATAAAGATAAAACGAGCTAAATTGTGCTGAACTGAGTTCACTTACCTTTACGAGGATGACTCACTGGGAGTTGCAAAAGAGGGATTTACATTATGGGTATTCCGTGAGACAAACTTTAACAGTGAAGTTGATTTGACAGTGCAAAGAAGGCAATTCAAACTCGGTACTACCACAAAGTCTTAGCAAGATGCTGAGAGACGAATGAAGAAAAGAGTTTTCCTCCTGGCTGCTTCAGATAAACAAAGCAATATGTTACTCGAATGGTGTGATAATGCAATCAAGGACGGCCCTTGGAAACTGGTTGCAGTGTTTTGTCTTATAACGCAGAAAAACACGAGTACTGATGAAATCACGTATCACATTAACTAAGATAGACAGACGGGAAAAAGATCACAATTTGATGATGGATTAGAAATTGCAATAAAAAAGGAGCACGACGGAACTGAAGTCGATAAAACATTGAGCGGGGGGAACGGGGAACTCAAAGAAAAGGGAAAGGAAAAGGAACCTCCACAAAAACAACAAATGTTCCGGAAATACTGGTTCCGGGTTTTAGTTCCGCTACGAATTCCGGAAAAAAATTAGTAAATACTAACATAACCTAAGCTCTTTCACGTTTACTTACAACACAGAGTTACAGTTCTTTCATTTCCTCGTGATAAATGTCCACTGTTTTGAGTTAATTTTTGTTTTTCCTCATAGACTTCACTTTTCGAGAAATTGGACAAAATTAAATTCTCAAGAAAAATAAAAATTGCGAATGTGAAGTGAAACTATCTCTCTGTTTGAATTAGGCGACAATGATGTCCGGATGACTTTTGCTGGTCAATTTTTTTTACTGTGATCATTGCGGAAAGCAGTCTTCCTCTACAGACCTTTAGCCCAGTTGAGTATATATCCTCTCTTAAATTCAGGAAAATAGTGTGATGATTTTCGTTAACTAAACTGTAGAGTCATTGAGGAGTGCTTTTGAGTCCATTGATGTTGGAGTCTGCAAACATCAGGGACTGGATTTTCGGGCCCTCTGAGTGAGGTAGAGAAGCGGCTAGTGAGAGCAGCTTAATCATTTTTCTAGATTTTTATTGTGTCAAGCAGACACTTGATGAGTTTTCTAGCCTCCTAATTTGTTTATCCCATGTATATTTGATGCTTGTAATGGTTTCTAGGACAGAAGTTCGAGTTAAATTTTCCACCAATTATAGTAGATAGCTTGATCCTCTTCTCAACAAGTCTGACAGGGACGATTAATGATAGTGAAATAATGGAAATAGGTATTTAGACTATGGCTTTAAATATTCAGTCATACTCCATCAGATGAGTGTGACAGAACTTTTTGTTCTGAGTTGTCGGAGAATAAATTCGAAAAGGTATGAATAAAAACCCCACAAAATTTTGTGTAATTAGATGTCTCCCATTGGTGAAGTACCTAAAACCTAAGCAGACTCTCTATCTGAAAAGAGAAGGAGAAGTATTTTTAAGGATCAAATTTGTTCAATTGGTGATATTTCATCGGCTATTTAGTTAATTATATTTTGATCCACAGACATGGAGATCTCTCAGAAAAGTATTGAGTATCTTACAGCGGTTGAAAAACAAGCTGAGGAAATTCTCACAGACAAAAATGAAATAATCGGGCTGGATCAACGGCGGAATGATACACGGATGGGATTGCGTCATCTGCAGAAAGAAAAGCCCAAAGGCAAAGTATGGATGGCCAGTGGTCCTGTGCTGATCAAGCTTTCAGCAGACAAGGCTGAAACAATACTGAAGAAAGGTCTGTCTTTTTTTGGCTTACATTTAAGAAATTCATGATGAATTTGAAACCATGATTTTTTAGCAATGGGAATAACTAATTAAAGTAGAAATTCTCTCTACTAGCACTCATAATTTCTGTATTATAGTGTACTTTTTGGCTGCATACCAAATCTCAAAAGCTTATGAGCCAAGGATTTATGACCCCTACAAACCCATAGAGAAAAAAAAGGAGGTGTTTACCCTGTGACAGGTCGGTACAACCTGGCCAGCGAAATCTGGAATTCGAAATATGAAAAACGGACCATAATGTCCGATTTTTTTACTTAAATCAACTCATTATATAATTTCAAGCACTTTTTATGGAATGAATTTTTTCCTTAAATTACACCATTTCCAAGAAAATCGATAGGATAAACGTCGCTGCACCGACCTACGTCATCAAATCATCGAAAAAATTCCAAGATGCCCGAAATGCAAACACCTCCTTTTTTTCTCTATGCTACAAACCCTACATGAGTGAAAAAAATGGCAAAAAGTGCTCTGAATTATTTTGTTTTCATAAATATTTTAATAGGTAGTGCAATTTCTCAGAGAGAGAAATTTTTTATTTTTGAGCGGAAAGTAATAAGAATTTTGTACAAGCATTGGTGGAATTCTCAAACTTACAGTGTCTCTAACTGATTTCTTTGTACAGGGCTGCGAATAGTCTCAAGTCTATTTAAGGGTTAAGGGATTTTTTTTAATGAGACAAACAGGTTAAAAGTTGAAAAAGCTCATAGAGACTCAGGGCACCAAGAACTTAGAAATAAAATATGACGGCAGGAAACAAAGCTCTGATCTTCCAACTCTTACTCAAGTATAGTTAGAGATGAGTTTTTCTCCAAACAGAAGTCTACGTTTTGTAATTAAATCCTCTGAAGTAGGTACATAACGACGGTGTAAGTCGGCAAACACATAACTCGTTTGCGGTGTCTGACAATAATTCGACAACAGCCGATACCTAACAATGAAAAAACAATACGAAATTAACTGACTAGGAGGGTGTAATTAAGGCTCTACTATCTTCATTTTCACCTTTGGTTAAGATATAAAAATAAAAAAGGTGGATCCTCTGCTTCACTCAAAAAGTCAGTAAATTAATTTGGCAATAACTCCACCTTGATTAGGCTAGATTATGAACATATCGACGACCTAAGTCCACAATCACATATATCGTTTGCGATATCTGAAAATCTCCGCCTCCATGTTATTTTTTTAAAAGAGAACAAATTGACATCATTCCTTGAAGTTTTTGCAGAATTTTCTTTGCACAGAGAAGAATAATCACGGCAGTTTTAAAGAATCGCCATTGAGTAGTTTTCCATTTAAAAAATAAAGTATGACAGGAAGTTTGCGACGTCGCAAACCGAGTTATGTGATTGCCGACTTACACCGTTGGTAACTCCCGCAATTGTGATCCTGTTCAACTTGAAAATGGATGATTTTACCGAAACATATCAACAGGCATTATTTTAGAGAGAGTGAGCTCCTGATCAGCTTGTTACAATCATGAGAAAAATGATTTACCATATCTTAGGAACTGAGATATTTACCCTTTTAAGAGGCACCTCATCTTTCCATGGAAAGTAATCTCTCATCAAAAAGATTCTTCCATTAAGCATTTTCATCTCCAGCCACTCTGTAAATTCAGTATCGTTCATCAAAAATCTTGAAAATTTTCAGATTCCGAAGGGTTTTTGACGACATCCTGAAAACGTTCAAGTGCTTTATTTTCAAGCAGAGTTTTTTTTTCAAATTGTGTTTCAGATCAAGTAAATACTGACGCAGAAATAAATAAAATCCGAAGCGACTTAAAGGTGAAGGTGAACAGGCTGAGGGATCTAGAATATCAATCACCTGTTCCCGGTCTAACGCTGCAACCCATGAGTGGAGCCGAAATGAGCGCTATAAATCAAGTTTTGGGTGGACATTCTTAGCAGTTAAGATCACTTTTAAATTTAAGTTTTCATGTCATTATTGTAATCATCAAAATATGAATACAAAGCAATTCTGTGATAAAGCTCTTGGTTTTGAGATTCTCTTCCTTAAATTATTTTTAATAAAATATTCTTAATCAATGACTGATTGCTTCAACCAAAATTTTAACTTCGCACATTTGCTCCTATCTTGGAAAATCTAAAATGTACTGTCATATTTTCTGAGTTGCATCATGTTAAAAACAATAAAAATTATAAAAAAAAAAAAAAAAAAAAAAAAAAAAAAAAAAAGAACACAGCTCATAAAATTACTTTAAAATACATACTGATCAACGATTACAGAGAGCTCTGACAGGTAACATCAAGGATTTTGACAGATTTTCTGAAACACCTAACCTAACACTTTCATGAATTGCCCCATCCTGAATCCCATCTAAAGTAGGTACTGACATTAGCAGATAGAGCTCTATCAATAAGATACTCAGTTGTTAAAATGACACAGAAGCCCTTAAGAAAAAGGTGTCCACATATGTATTGGACCTCAAAAAATCCGAATCTGACAGTTTAGAAGCATCCCAAGGCTTCGCTGATGGGGTATCATGCACACCCATAGAGTACATAGAGACGTAATGTAAATGGGAGAGCTGGCGCCATGTTCTGCTGGACGAATTCCGAGCCCGGTGTGCGCCAAGTTCAGGTCACTTTTTTGATACATGTTCGATCCAAAATGGCGGTGTGGAATACGAGGTGATTCCTATCTTCTTTGTTTACATCGGATGGCCGGGTACCCGTGTGCCGCAAACAATCGATTATGTAGCGAAAAAGTGGCCCGGCATCACACAGGAGTCTCGGAATTTGGGACCTGGAAAATGCTTAAAAGTGGCGCCAGCTCACTCACTTACATTACGACTCTATGTACTCTATGGGCACACCCTAAACTGTTTTAAGTTGTGAATTAAGGGCTCTCTCAACCCCATCAGCAAGCTTTGAAGCTGTCATTTTAGGATTGCTTGTGGTTGATTATCTGTGAGAACATCTTTTTTTTGAGCCTCTACATCAATTTAGCAACCTATTTTTTTATTGAGAGGTCTCTGTCCCTCTTCAACTTCAGGAGTCAGTATTTTTTATTTTAATAGTCCAGTATCGTTTCAATTTTCAAAAGAAAAGAAAAATACACGTTTAAAATAATGGCTTAATATATTCAATTCATACAAATAAAACTTACAGTAGGAAAAAAACTAACATCTAATTTGACTTAAAAAAAGGAAAGTAATAGTAACAAAGCTTTGCAGTTGGTTGAATAGTACAGTGAAAAATTAAATGAGTGACGCTGGACTATTTACTAATGCACCGGAACTCACACGAACAGAGAGTACTTAGATGTTGATTTCAGTTAATGTTTTCTTGAGTAAATGCTTAAGTAATTACTTGCCAGAGGCAAAGTTTTGTAACTGAACAAGGAGATTGATGTAAGATAAATGCTCGTAGACCGTGCTCAAGTCGCTCATCTTGCTCACAAACTCGTTCGAGACGCCTTTCTCTTCCAAAAGGTTCATGAGCAAATCATAGAGATACTGAAACATAAAAGCGAAATTAGAAATTTTAAACAGAGAGAAATGTAACAACATAAATCGATTACTCAACACCTCATTCACACTGAGAAACATTTTCCACTTAATTATTCCTGACCTTGAATTCTCATTAGGTCAACCAGGAGTCTGATTAAAGTAACAGGACCTCTCTATGAAAAAACAAAAATGCAGTTTGAAAAGAAAGAGTTTCTTTGAACGCCGCGAGGATTTTCCACCCAGAATTATTGATTGGAATTTAAATTGATCCAAGAGAGAATTTTTCTCTGCGCAGCTACAGCAGCAAATCCCTTCTCTACGCATTGTTTGTTTTTTTTTTTTTGGTTGTTTTTTTTTGATCATTGTATGTAACTTGGCAATTGATTTAGACCAATATCAGCAGTGACTTTAGATACCTTTGAGCAGTCAAAAAACTCATCCTAAAATACTGAAGTTTTAACTTTTAATCAGCCAGAATTTGTTTGGATTTTTATGGGTTCACATAGTAGCACTTCAGTGCACTTTTAAAATTCATTAATTTACACTTTGTATCACCTTCCTAAAATTTATATTCTTAACTTTTCACCTTATGCTTTGGAAAAATCCATTATGCCATTACTAATCTGAATCGTCGTCCTTATACGCTGCACTACTGAACATTTCAAGGTGAGTATGTAATCCAAAATGGGCCAGACATCAGTAATCAGCATTATAATCAAAGATATAGCATTGATTAGAATCCCAATTTTAGTGAATGAAAGAAATTTTCATGACGGTTTAAGACTCTTTGATGAAAATACTCAAGAAAAGCATGTTATTAAAAAGAAAATAAGTTGATTACTTACGCCATCCAAAACTTGGCCAGACACAGCATAGGTAGAGTCTTCCCATTCTTTGTCATAGATGGCCAATTCATCAATGCCAAAAATGTCGCCTGAACACATAGAATGAGAGGTTACTCATGTTAAATTTGGAAATCTCACAATTTCAAGGAAAGACCAGTAAAAAATCAATTTCAATGGGAGAAAATCTTTGCAAAAATATAAGTGATGCAAATAAAATCCAGGAAGTCACCGGTGAGATATAAAATTTTTCTCAGGTAGAATTAAGTTATCATCTCTGAGAAATTAGATTAGACAAATAAGGGCTTGACATGAGTCAAAATTGTGAGGGAAAAACTAGAAAATAAATTAAGGTATCCTAAAAGATTCAGGGGTGTCAACTGGCAGGTATAATCAAAGAAATTAATATGGGGCGTCGCCAAAGTGCAGATTTTCTTACTTAAATCTTGTAAGGGCACAAGTTGAAGTGTAGGTACCTACATCCTTCGCAATTACTCATACTTAAATGTCTGAGTCAGACCAAATCCTTTGGTTAAAACACTTTTGATTCAGATTCATGCTGATCTAGTCGGTGAAAAAATTTTTTCCTTTTGCTGAGGATTGGTTGAGGAATATATAGTAGGAAATAATACGATCTTCCACAATAACGTGACTTACCACATTCATCTTCTGATTGATCAGTATCGATGAGGTAGGAGCAGGTGAAACCTATTACTTTGGAGCCGCGTTTCAGTTCCACCTCAAAGGTAGGCTTTGACCGTAATTCGACTTCTGGGTTGTCTGCATTGGGATTGATCTCTGGCTCAGCTTCTGAGTCGACTGAATGGTTTACATTGAAGAAAATCTGGACTCTGAAAGGCATAAAAATGAAAAGTAATGGGCAAGCAACAGTCAAGGTAAAATCAAAACTAGCTTCAACTTGGTGTTCAAAGTACTGATTAAGTATTGAGTAAAATTCCAAGAAATTAAATGTTTGTGGAAACTAATCAGAAAATTTTGGATCATACTCAACATTCCTTTGTAGGCAGGCAGTCAATTGTAAAGAATTCTAGCAAAACAACACAATCTAAGAAAACAATTGGAGTACTTGGGGCTGAACCTGCATGAAAAAGAAAATGTTCAGAAGTTCCGATTGAAATTACTTACGTTTCATCACCATTTTTCTTGGTGAGTGTTACTTCTGCTCCTTCCAACTTGACTTGAAACCCTTCAATTTCTGATGGGATTGTTTTCTGTTTTTGGAGCTTCTTCTCAGCATCAATTTCTTCGGTCAAGAATTCAGCGAGCTCTTTTTCACCTGGAAAGTAAGAGGAATAGTTAGAAAAAACAAGGCAATGAACATCAAAGTTTTCCTGGCCAAACATAAACAACATGACTTAGTCAATGAATCAAACGATTCACAAAAATTTTAGCATTGACCAGTGAACTTTGAAGGTGATTCATCAAGAGTTTACATAAGAAATCTCAGCAGATTTTGAATTTTAAGCTCCAAAAAGGACAATAGCTTCTCTGCACGAGCTTAAATAATTTTCCAAACAGGATTCTGTTATTATTTCTCTGAACATAGCCAATTTATTGGTTTGGAATGATTCATTGAGCCCATGCACCTGGGTTATTGTCCTTTTTTGGGCTAAAAATTCAAAATCTGCCTAGATTTTATTTGAAATTGATGAAATATATCAGATGCCAATTCAACCACACCAGCAACCGTAATAAAGCACCTTAAATGGAAAAAAAGGAATCACTTTGCCATTGAGCTCTGATCAGTTGGTTAGACAAATGGATAGTCGTAACAATCTTAGTCTCTACTATACTCTTGAAGCTCGATCACAGGATTTTCACTAAATTTTCGTAATCTCATACAGGTACTCTGCCCAAGTTGAAAACAGTAAAATTCAAATGTTCAAGAAAAGTTAAATGATAATGGGATCATGCTGAAACATGTATCTTGAGAAAGGCGCTTAGTGACCTTCACCAATTGCTTTGCGCTGACAGCAATTGCGACTAATGAAACTTGGCCAGTGATTGACTAAGAATGCCATGCCGTAACAGAGTAATCATGACCATCTGGTTAGCTTTTAGAAGCCCGTAAACAGACCATGGGGGGGTCTCGGCATGAGATAACTTACCTACGAAGTGCAAAATGTGAAGTGGCATCACAACATCTACTAGAGGCAAATTTAAATTTGCTCACAGAGCATGTTCATCACAGGATACATTGCCTAAGTCAAACACTTGGGTTGTATCCAAATGAAATGGCTTACTACACTTCCTTGCCGTAGGTATGACCAGGCTACTATAGGCCGTTGTGCCCCGAGAGAGCACTGCTAGGAAACTAGTCTGTTATTCCCAAGAGAACCCTGAGCAGCGAAGCGGGGGCTCTACAGCTAAATCAAAGGAAGAAATGACTCTAGAAAGCGTGACTTCAGGTCAATTGTAACGAGCCTACAACATGCAACCGGAATGGTGAAATGCCGTGTAAAGTTATCAATTTTGAGGTTAGGTTTGAGTAATTCTAGATTAGGGGATTTAACTTACTCTCTCGGTAATCACCTTTGGTATGTGCTCCTCTTATCGCTCCGCACCCACACTGGCATAGAATGGAAGGTTGATTTTGCTGGATACGGCCCAAATTGTTTGAAGAGGCGTCGTTGTTGGAGCACACGTGCCATAGGGTCCTGGCGAATTGTCGCTTAGCCGGCTCATTGACGACATTCTGCCTCACGAGGCTCGAAAAACTTTTGGAGAATACAGACTTGAGGGTAGATTTCACGACACCGTTCATTTTGGAAGTGAAAACTTAGACTTTGAGAGGATTTAAAACGGATTAATGCAAGTTTTTCACTCTTTATCAATCGGACCGACCGAGCGCGAGGAGAGCGGAGCGGAGATGGATGGTAGACTAGACAGTGGTGCAAGATCGCTCAAATAAAGTATAAAATCGTCGGAAATAAATCCGGAAGTTTTCTTCAGAGGCCTTTACAGAAATAAGGCAATTTTGAATTTCTAACTTACCATTATTTTCTCTCATCATACGTTCAATTATTTCTGATTTTCTTTCCTGAAAAACTTACGAGGCTCACGGAGAATATGAAGAGACAACGGGCAACGGGACTCTATTCTTCTAGACTTCCGGAGTCAGAGCGTAATCTGAAAATTTCATTGATTAACCTTGGTGAACCCAGCTACCACGCCAGCTGCCATCCCAGCTCCACGGAGGAGTCCACAGCACCGCCGGTACCGCGCGATGTTTTTGACACTGTTAGTAACTACACGGTGCCCATGAAGCAATGCAGTACCTCGCTCCCATCTACTAAGACCTACTGTAACAGCATTCCTTCGAATTCTTATAACTTTAAATTACGAGGAAACTTGATTTCGATTGTTATTAATGATTTCTACTCCACAACCCCATTGGGAACAAAACGACATCGGGGGAGGGGGGGGGGGGGGGNTACGATTACTTGGGGTTTCAGTTATTTTCGCCCGGAAAAACACTTGCAACCTCTGTTTTTGAATTTTTGTGAAAATGTCATCATGTGACATAGCTGACCAAAAAATCGAGGGTTACGAAGCGTTCACTTCTTTGACGGATACTTTAGATAGCTGCGACAAATCTGTTTTCTTGCTGTTTCGTGGTTCAAATAATGACAAAGGAGTCAGCTGGTGTCCTGATTGTGTCAAAGGTATTATACTGAAGTTCCAGTCCAATTTCCAATTTTATTTGCAAAATTATGAATTTAGTATAGCCCTTGTTGTCAAGCTCGTTCCGTTACTTTTGTTCATTTCATTTCGTAGTTTTTAAAGGAAAAAACTAACCAACATATCAGCTAAAAGTCCTTTGAATAATAATTTTAAGCTCTTGGAATTTCGCTGGTCAAATGACATTCTCTGGTTAAAAAGTTAGTGAAAGATCTCTTCATTTACTAGGTATCTTATCAAAATCTTGTTTCGAAAATTTTTCGGAAAAATCCTTATCCTTTTTCCTCCATTAATAATGATTTAATATCAAACATTTTTAATCTAGGAAGTACTTAATTTCTACCCAAGATAGTGCACCGTCTGATTTTAAAAACTCTGATGATTCATTGGTTCTCAATCTTAAGTCATTCTGTTTGTTACAGCCGAACCCATCATAAAAGATGTCTATGACTCTCTCGACAACAAACACACTCGTGCTTTGATTCAAGTTAGTGTTGGAAACAGAGAAGTGTAAGTGTTGCTTTGAATGAATCTTAACTAACGCATTTCAAAACTTGAAGACAATTCAATTTCAGGCTAAGTTTCTGAAGCAACCCTACCCCACAAGTTTCTCAGGAGCGCTAAATACAGCAGTGAATTGTGAATTCAAGTCAAAGGCCAAATTTTTGGACAATACCACTATGGGAATTATCTCATTTAGTCGTCAGTGGGCACAACTGGTGTTCGTAAGACCTACCAGCACTTGTCCTCTTGTTCTTACGAAAAGAAACTTCGCAGAAGAGACTTATAATTGTAATAAAGTGAGAGTAAGGTTTGCTCCCAGCCCGACTGGTTTTCTGCATCTAGGCGGCTTGCGCACAGCCTTTTATAACTATTTATTCGCCAAGCAAAGTGGTGGGAGTTTTGTTCTACGAATTGAAGATACGGACCAAGATCGTCTTGTGCCAAATGCCATGGAACAACTTGAGGATGATTTAATTTGGGCTGGAATTCAGCCTGATGAAAGTCCTAGAGTTGGAGGAAACTACGGGCCTTATCAACAGTCCCTTCGCCTAAGTTTATACCAAAAAGAAGTTGTGCCGCTGCTGGAAAACGGGTCTGCATACCATTGCTTTTGTACAGAAAGTAGACTGAATTTACTCCGGCGGGAAGCTTTGAGAGCAAGGCAAAACCCTAGGTATGACAATAGATGCCGAAATTTATCGCAGGAGGAAATAAACAAGAAACTCAACGCAGGGGAAAGTCATTGCATTAGATTCAAATTAACACCCTTCAAAGAAAAAATGAACGATATTATTTTGGATGAATATGAAATCAACGTTGCAAGCATTGAGGGTGATCCAGTAATCATGAAAAGTGATGGTTTTCCTACTTATCACTTTGCCAATGTAGTTGATGACCACTATATGGAAATCTCACATGTTTTGCGAGGCGTCGAGTGGATGCAGTCCACCACAAAACATTTATTGTTGTACAAAGCTCTCGGTTGGGACCCTCCAGTTTATGGACATATGCCTCTGTTGATGAATAAAGATGGTACAAAAATATCGAAACGCCAGAACGATTTAACAGTCAAAAGTTTGCGAGAGAGGGGATTTTATCCTTTGACTCTTTTAAACCTAGTATCACATAGTGGAGGCGGTTTCAAGGATCTCCCACCAAAATCTTCAATCTTAACTCTAGATCAACTGGCTGCAGGTTTTGACATAAATCTCATAAAATCAAGTTCTTGTCAGCTTATGATTCACAGGCTATCAGAATTCAATAATTTGGAGCTTCAGCGACGTGTTGAAGATGAGACAGAGTTCGATCTTCTCAAAAACGAAATCAAGAATAAAATCCAAAGAACTTTCTCTGGCAATTCCAATTTACAGATGAGTGACGAATACATCACAACAATTCTCACCTGGAGTTTATCTAGAATTTCAAATGTTGACGATCTCTTTACACCAAATTTTGCTTTCCTTTGGGTGAAACCTAAGTTAGACTTGAAGATAACTGATGTCGAGAAAAGTGATTTGCAAAGCTTGATCGGAATCCTAGAGAATGTGGAACTTTTCAATCGGGAAACTTTAGGGAAAACTTTAAGAGCTTACAACGATGAGAGAGGTTTGAAGTACAAGAAATTTATGATGAGCTTAAGGAGTGTGTTGAGTGGCTTGAAGGAAGGACCAAGCGTTACTGAAATGATGGAATTACTTGGCAAACAGAACACGATAGATCGCATACAAGAGGCGATCAAGAACTCATGAAACTTTATATTGCGTATGTCAGTTGAAATCAATCTATTTGTTTGTCTACATGGATAAGTGTGCCCCTAACCTTGGCAAAGTTTACATCAGTTCGCCAAACTAGTTTTAGCTCACAATCAGTTCGAATAGGTATGGAAAAGAGCAAGTTCATCCTTTCGCTGTACATAAGTTTGCCTGTAGCCTGTTAATGTAGTTGGATAGAAGTTGGTCAGTGTGGAAGGAACGTCAGAGAAAACTGAAGGGCCTTTGAACACAAATACGTAGTCAAATTTGTTTCCAACTGGCATATTTGGTGTGAAGCGTGCAGGCTTATACACATTTTCAGATTATTCTTACTGTGTAAGCTGACAATACTCTGTAATTTTTCATCATAAGATATCTGGTTCTTTTTATGTTGAGGGCAAAGAAATACTCACTAGGAACATGGCTCAAGTATTAATTGTTTCCCTTTGGGAGGCATTACAACTCTACATCTTTTTTTTTTCATTTGCACAATGACTTTACATGCTGGATCCTAAGAATTTTTCAGTGGTATTGGTATACCGGGTGCTTGTCCGAAAAATCTATTTTTCAAATTTTTAAAATTTTTTAAAACTTTAGGACATATTTAGCACTAATTCAGAGGTAGAGCCTAATTTTGTTTGGGAAAAAGAGGGAAACTTGTTCGCAAAATTAGACAATGAAGTCATGATTGATGTTGTATTACCCTTGTTGCAGATGGAAAGACCCCAAATGCTCTTTTCGCACTGACCCTCGTCTCAAACTTACTAATATTCCCACAATTATTAAATGGAAAGGAGGAAGAATAATTGATGACGAATGTTCCAAAGTAGATGTCCTGAGAAAATTTTTCTTGGGATGAACCTAGTGTTTCAGAGCTAAATTTTGAAATTTTGTAAAATCTTTAATAAACGAAAATATTTTTGCAGATGTGGTTCAGTTTTTGAAGAATTGATTTCTTGATATATCTATGTATCAATTGTGAAAGTGCGAAACCACATATCTCCGTTTGCGACTTTACAGACTCCCTGTCATGCTTTAGTATTTTTTTTTAGAAAATTATTTTATGTAATATTCCTTGATTTTGTCCTCTCTATTAGTAGAATATTTTGCACAAATTTCAAGCTACCAGGTTGGTTTTTTTCCTCTTTGAAAAAATAAAATCTGAGCGGAAAGTTAGAAGCAGCACACTGGCAGTGGAGATATGTTGATTTGCACTTGGCCCATTAGTATTTGAAATAATTGACATGTCAACATCGTCAAAAAAAAAAAGACCTTTTTGCTGGAAAACTCATGACTGAATCATCAGTAATGTTATGCATGGAAGTATTTTACCAACATTTTGTAATTAAAAACTTACGCTCACAACTTAATTTTTGAAATTGATTGAGACTTTTTCCTGCAAAGACCCGAACAATTTTCATGTCTACAAGAGATACTATCTTCATCTCTATGTTAGTTCTGTGCTATAAGGTACCTTTCTCTGTTGACAGTCGCAATTTGTTACATTTTACTGGCAACTAATGAAATTAAATTCAAGCAAAATCAAACAGAGAATTTTCTGAGTTGGAACTATCAATGATTCATTTATTGGATCTTTTCCCATTTTTTTTTTTTCTTTTTTAAAAGTACACTTACTCTTGTAGCTTTACAGAATCTCTACAAGAATGGACTAGATTTTTTAAACCTAGCTTGAAATAATTTACAATAGCTAATCTAATTACACATTTACAGTATTGGATAGTAAAACTTAATAATTCAATGAACAACAAATTGGGAGCAGGGATTTAAGACAATAACAAAAACTTCTGTGGATTAAAAAAACTTGGGAATCAAAAATTCCATGAATTGAACTAAATTTCATCACTTGGTTTCTGCTTGCTGAAACAAAAATTTATAAACGACCATTACAAAAAATCTTGTTGGTTAAGTCAATAAAATCTTAAGTTCTTTTTCAAAATGCCTAAAGAAAAAAATAAAAAAAAGTATTCCAAAGTATGTTCATTTGATCAAACTTTCATACAATTGAATTTCGACCCCATGATGAATAGGAAAATAATGTTGAAATTTTGGTTGGTCATTTTATCGGGCTTGATTGATACGTTTTAAAATTTTAGCAATAGTGGTCAAATGTGCGGTTGTGCGCTCGTATTTTAGTTTTTCGTTGTTTGACGCGTATCCGCGCCGCGGTACAAGTTTTCTATTTGTAGCCTGAAGCTCGAAATGCGCATCGCTTGAAAGTAAAACATCAATCTCCATCGGGAAGAAAAAGTGAGTACAAAACCCTTAGGAAAATAATGCTTTAACAGATTTTGTTTCACTTTTCCTCACCCTGCGACTAGGTCTAGGCAGAAAGAAGTATTGTCGCAGATAGTAGCCAAGCATTATAGACCTAATAAAATTCAAACGACAAGGTTGCAATATGCATTTTTTTTTTAGACAGAAAATTACCTAAATTTTTGAGGAATATTGCAACATCATTCAGTTCTTACAGCAATATTTGAGCATATTAATATTCGCTAATGTTACAACAGTAAAGCCATAACTACTGCTGTAAATATTGCTGCGTAATATTAACCACAGAGGACTCTGTATGTAATGGTCTCCTTGAGGAGTCTTTACAATTGGACGTATTTATGCCAAACAGAACTATGTGCATTATGACGTGAGTCCTGTTATGCATATATTTTTATGGGTCTCAGGGCTCATGTCTTATTGCACATAGTTTGGTTTGGCAGAAATACGTCCAATTGATGTCTTTTTTGCAGAATATTCTCTACGATTAATGACCTGTTGGTAAAAAAGACTCTACAACTCAAATTTTAAAAAAAACACCTACAGCATAGTGCCAAGAAATTTTGCCCTGGCTAAACTTTGATATTACTTGACATAATGTTCCTAACAACCTCCTGAATACAATAAGTTTTTAAAATCAAACTTTCTACATGCTGATCTCGAAAAAAATGAGGCTAATAAGTGACCTATTATTTAAACAGGCAATATCTAAAAGAAATGTTGGAACATCTTGAGGAGAGCTTATGTTTCTTTTCTGTATTGGTTGGGAGGATAAGACAGACAAAAAGAATCAAAGGCCTCCAAAAGGTAACAGCTTGCAACGTAGCATCTACACAGACATAGTCACAGTTCCGCATCTACAATAGAAAACGCTTATAGAAGACTGAAAACTTCACTTTTCAGCCATGCTTCTTTGGAGGTTGGTACATAAAAAGATAAATTTTAAAGACTCATCTTGCTTCGAAGGTTATAAGGAATATCGTATCGAGTAACATTGAAATTTAGCAGGCGCCAAATTTCTCGGTATTGTGTGCCTATTCCTTTTGATTACACCCACAACCTTCACTGTTCAGAGACAAAAGAAAATTAGCTTACCACAGTGAAAACTAGCCCTTTCAGTTGCTTCAATTTGGAAGGCAAGTCTTCATCTTCTGAGTCTTTTTTGGGCCTCACTAATTGTTCTGCTGAAATATTGCTACTATCAACATCCCCTGATATAACGGGAGGCTCTCTGTAAAATGAGTAAGTTATGCAATCCAGTTAGAAGATAATATTCACATGAAATGCTGCACGAATTTTGGAAACGACACACTCTGGGAGATAAGTATAATCTAGGAGCAAAAAAACATACAGCGAACTTACATCAAAAGCAAAAATTGTGAGGCTCACAATTATTTCTACGCCATGTCCTATTCTAACTTATCATGACTGGTCTGTGCAACGAAAAGAATTGGGGGTTTAGAATATGGATTGCCCCTTTGTTTAATTCTCTCAAAATTGATTGATAAAGCTGACTCTTACATATTAATTTAAAATTCATTAATCATTATTCGCACAGGTCCAGATCTCGAGGTTGAATGGCTGTTGCCAATAAACTTGCCGAATTTTCTGCTGCGTCATTGGACCCAGCAAAATTACATGTTCAATGATGGCAGTGCTGGGAGTCTTGCAGCACATGAAAAATGGTGCTAGAAAATTAAGTCCCACAGCCTACATAACTTCTAAAATGATGTAGGGGAGGGGAGGAGAATTAGGTAATCAGGCTTCTTAGAAAACGGGAATAGAAAGTACAAAGGTTTGGACTACTTACATTGAATGAGACCAATACTTCTTATTCACTAACATCAGAATCATGAGAGCTGGCAAGTGAATCAGTGAAAACCTGAATAATTTCCTAGAGCTGGCACTATCTGATTCTTGGTAGAATTTGTAAGCTGAAAAACGTAACAGAATTGCATGAAAAACAGGTTTAAGTGAAAGAGCCTCTGACAAAAAAAGAAATGTTTTTTTTTTTCTCTGTCTCTCTCTCTCTCTTGCATATTTACATGAGGAAGAAAATTATTTCTTTTATTTTCTTTTACTTATATCATGCTTGTACAGGTATTTACTAGAATGCCCTCGGGTTATTTTGTTTGTTTCTTTTTTTACAAAGTTTTGATGTAGTATTTAAATATCTCAAAAAAACGCAAAATTTGAACGGGTTCATGTAAGACACAGTAGCGGCTCCCATTCTCGGTTGTTGGAGATCTCTATAGGCTTGATGGGGTCGCTACCGCTCCTAGTAATATAAAAAAAAGAAATGAAAAGAACTTCTCACCTAAGTACAGGAAGTAAGCATTGAGAGGTAATGACTCCAATGCAAAGTAATGATTGGTGACATCCAAGTAAGGTGCTGCAGTTGAGAGGAGGGTGATTGCTGCACAGTATCTAACAGAGGTGACTCGGCAAAGTTCTATAAAAAAGAGAAAAAATTTACATATAAGTGAACGCAACGAACCGTCAAGAACAGAAGAGTAAAAAGTTAAAACTTAGCACTGAGTGACCAGAATAAAAGAATCTTGCAGAGCCCAGCAGATTTTAGGGTATCACATGAAAAGCTGACTACTACGTATTTTTTCACCTGCATCTGTTAATTTATTTTCCAGTTGCAATTGTAAGAAAAGATAATGTGTTCCATTTTTAGAGAATATTTTTACCATTTTTTTTAAAAATTAATTGTTTGCTGGTGATGTGCATTACACGGCTACCACTTTACACTCAATTTACAGTTCTAGAAACTATCATTCTTCGATTCATATGCAATCATAAATATCGAGCCAATGAGAGACATTATTTTTTTTACTACTTTCAACTTATTTCTTTTTTTGGTTTAAAAAGCTGTTTAGAACTTTTTAGAGCATGTAGGCGTGTTTCTTGCTAAAACTGACTTTCGTGACATCTTGTCTCAAGAATAACCCTCAATTGTGCGACAGCCTACTTTGAAATTGTTCTCATAATTTTTTTAAATTTTATAGCATATTCAAACTGTTCACAACTCGAAAAAGAAATTAAGATCAAGTCAAAACCAAACTTTTTTTATCTCTATAAACTTGAGTTTGTCAAAGATATTTTTAAAATAAAAAAAAATCTAATTGAAAAACAACTAACTTGCTTGAAATTTTCTTTGGAAAAATCACCAACGTTTTAAAACAATTAAAAAATTCCAGCGACACTAACAAATCTTTGAACAAAGTTTAATTATTTTCCAATGATGAAAGACATCACAAGATCCAACGCTATCTTGTGCAGAAAATTTTGGCGGCAGATTATGAACGTGATAAATAATATTGATAATTTCAAGACTTTAAAAATACTGAGAATTTAAATACTTTAAAAATAGTGAGAATTTAAATTTTTTAAAAATACTGACTTGGATGTGTTACAGACATCATTCTGTAACCAGCTTTAGAGTAGTCAGGTCGTAGATTCCAAGACAATGCATTGAAGTGAGGGAATTGCCAAGCATATAAAATTCCTGCGAGGATCCAAGCTCCACTTTCTAAGCCCCCCGTGCAACCAGCCCATCCCATCAAGGGAGGTATGGCACCCACTAAAAAAGGAACGAAACAAAACAGCATTGAGAAATCTGCCAAGGTGCTTACAACAATGTACTAAAAAGGAAATAAATAAAGGTGACTGATTGATCGGAATTATGAAATCCTCTGATTATAATGCTCTAGCAGTAACAATCAAGATCAAATTGAAATGCCCTTAGTTGGATGAAGGTATGAAGACCAAATTGTGAGATGGTACTAGAGGATGGATAAATGTTCATATCTCCGTTGCAGTTACAGATATTGACATGCCATTTGATCAAGGCTTCCTCAAATAAAAAGGGAATCTCATTTAAGGGGCTGTGACCTCTTGCCCTTCACAAAGACGAGAGAAAATTCCAAAAAGGTACCTTCAATGGGTGATAACTTGTTGAAATAACAAATAATAATAATAAAAAAAAAAAAATTGATGGAAACTGCACCATCACTGTTTCAGATATTAACAAATATCCATACTTTACTGCCACTCTTTTCATTTTCTCTCTTTCCGTATCTTTCATTATTTTCAACAATGTAAAGTAGGTGTTTTTTTATGAAATGGCGCTGTTTTGACTGTAGACGCATTGTGCCCAAAGAGGAGGAAAAAGGAATCAAATCATTCTGATCAGGAATGACATCTGATGTTTCAACAAACAGAAAACCAAAACTTTTCTTAAAAAAGCTCTTGTTAAATTGAATTTTTCTTTCTTGTGATGCTTATGAAATACATGCTGAAAAATGACTTATTTTTTGTGGAGGGTAAGTAGTATTGACATCATCTGATGAGAGTCAGTTATTTTTAGGAGGAAAATTTGTTTTTTATTCAATAAAATTTCATTTAGCTAGATTGAATTACAAACCATTTACTTCAGATGATATTAAAGTCGATTTGTAAATGCATAAAGATTGATTGGATTCAGCAGCAAAAAATAAATGAAGACAAATATTGATTACGTACCTATTGAGCCTACCCACGTATTTAGGATGCTAACTCTTTTGAGTGGTGTATAAACCGAGGTATAGAGGAACAAGTTTAGAGCACCAAGACTAGCTGTCAAACCGTTGACGCCAAAATACAAGGCAGATAAACCACCGACACCACATGCTGCTGCAAATGTTAACGTATGCAGGGGCCTGAAAAAGTTCAGATCACATGATTGTATAATTCATATAATGCCCAAGCAATTACTCACTATTTTCTGGAGATATTGCTGATCTTTTCTTGAACAAATTCTACTTGGAAAGGAGTTTTGTTGAATTTTAACACAATGCTATGAATATGAAACATGTGGCAATGCAAAACTGTGACCATTCACAGGAAAGGGAAATTTGCTTAGTCCACATCAACTCAGAATTGAGCTGGGAGCCGTTTATGAAGTACAAAACACTCTAGGGGAGGGTCTGCATTATGAGGGCATATCAACAATTTTTCAAAGATCTGAGACAAAAAATTGTTGCATGGTAGAAATTTTTCGTAGGAAATTCATCACCACATGCTAATTTGAGGGGGCTTACCAAAAACTTATGGGACACACCTATACAGGAAGTAAAAGAAAAATCTGAAGGAAGTTAAAGGAGTAAAACTGTTTAATTTAAAGAAGATCTATGTCACTAAAACTTACGAGAGAAGCTGCCGCACAAGAATCCTATTTTTTGTCCTGTTCATTTGAGCATCGAATGGAACTTCATGATACTGATTGACGGCATTGGCAGCACAAGAAACTAATGCTGTCCCCAGGGAACAGGCAAGAAATGTTTTGTGGTCATAGGCTGCTGGTGCTAGTGCATATCCTGCACAAGACGTCATTACAACTAAAGCTGAAACACAGATGAAAAACGTGAGGGAAATGAACAACATAAAAAACTGATCCAGTTCTGTTGCTGATTGAGGAGGATAGTGAGCCTTTACCAAAAATTAAAAAGTTCATTGTTCCAGGTAGGTTCTTAAAAAAACGCAGAGAATGAATAGGATTTGGATCGCATTTAGCAAATAGGAACCAGCGCAATTACAGTGTTTTGTAAATTGAGCAACTTCTTCTATTCTTTTAAAAATTTTATAAAAGCAAAAACTATTTGTCATTCTCAGAGATTTCTTAGATACCTAATTATAAAGAGGCAACATTTTTACAACACTGTGATCGTGTTGGTTCCTTTTTGCTAAATGCTATCAATTTATTGGACCCCCAAGAGTTTTTTAGGATGTAAAATTTGATCTTACTTACAATGCTATCGCAAAAACCTACTAGGTTCTTATTAGCATTAAATTTACATTTTTATTTTATTTTTTTTTTTTATTTTTATTTTTTATTTTTTTTTTTTAAGTGAATGATTTAAAAATCCAAAAATGGGTTACTTCAAAACTGATAAAAATTCGTAGATGTTAAATTTTTAATCATTTTAACTTGTTCTGACCCTATTTAGGGTTTTTATAGTGAAGGTAACCTTGTATTATGGATTGTTCAAGAAAACTTTCTTTGAGTTAATAAATGATGTGTATGATTATCCAAGTTAATTTCCGTTCCGTAATTCATTTTACACATTTTTGGAGTTTAGTAGTTTTAATGCTAACCGATTAAATTATAGTTACTGATGAACTATTTGCAACTACTGGTGAACTTTTTTCTATTTTTTTATTTTATTTTTTTTACTGAGGAGAAACCGTTAAAAAATGAACAGATATTTGTGACATGATTTCTGACCACTTCACAACTGAATTTCTAATCCATTAATCCATTGCATGCTGTGAAAAGAAAATGCCACCAATTACTATTATAACTATTTCCAACCTTCTTTTTACAAGTTTATCATCTGTCCTAGACCACTTGGAGGGTTCATCCATTACTTACAAGTGAGCCTTATTTTTGAGAGCATCATATACTGTTGAGGAAGTTTCTTCAGGTCGAGTTTGATCTCCGTCCATGTCAGCGGTTTCTCAGGAGGCAGGCTTGATGTGACAGGTATAGCATCTTTTGCGAAAGCGGCAATTTCTATATTTCCGTAAGCCAGAGTTACATCGCGCTTCGGGGTTTTCTCGATCGTTTTTACTTTTGGAATCTGCGTCTTTGTCCATCGCTGGAACCATCAAAAATAGAGTTCAGATCAAGAGAGTGATTGGATAAATATTACACTCTACCTTGGGCATTATCAGCTTCTTGTAAGTTAATAGGCTGAATTAGATTTATCGATAGAGATTGGTGATGAAGGCAACTAATGATGTGGTTTCATGTTAAACTATTGAAAAATAGACCAACAGATTTCATTTTTAGTATTCAATTAAAAGTTTCTCGCGTAAAATGAAAATTTTGATATTTAATGGATTTTGAACCATCAGAAAAATTGCTCAGAATCCATTCATGCAATTTCGTAATGCAATTTTGATCAATATGCAAACTAGGAATTTTTTTGCAATTACTAATCTCAGAGTCTGGTAATTCTAGAGAAATGATTAGAGAAAAAATCTTCATCATGCCACAGATCTTGGGCGCAGAAACTGCTCGACCGGCTGATCGCAGGAGAAACGTGAAGACATTGCAAACAAGGAAGAACATGTGAAGGTAGAGGGCAAATGGGATTTTTTTTTTCAAATTTTGATTTTATAAAATATGGATGCACTACTTTTTAGGTGGACAGCCATGTGAACGCTGCCTGCAGAAATTTAAAGGGAGAGCATTCTCGTGTGGACAGCGATGTGAAGGCAAAGAACTTTACACCCCTGTCTTAAATGAAAATATCTTTGAGAGGAGGCCTTTTTCCTGAATACAATAGAATGGTTTTTGCCAATTGAATAAATTAGACAACAGTCACCTACCTTGACTGCAAAAGACTGGGCAAATCGTGGTACAGTTCCAACTCCACATGGCTTAATGGTACATAACAGCAAGGCCATCACATCGTTTCAAGTTTGAAGAGGTAGCAACACCTAGAAAATAAAAAAAAACCTATGCAATGAAAGGTTTTCAAGATAGAGAAGTGATGTTAAGTAGTAAAAAGGGGTACGCAGGTGAATTTAAGGGAAAAAAGGTCCAACGGAGGGGACATTTCGTTCAAATCAGACAAATTGTAATAGCTAGCTGTGTTGTTTGATATTCAATATTTTCGACAGTTCTATCTGAAACAAATGACCTGTATCAGATGGTGTGACCACTAGCTTAGTCTATCTTCAGCCAAGCTAGCTTACAGCACGATCTGAAGTGCATTTTCTAAGTGCTCATTTGAAGTTTTACTCAGCCCTTATTATGGCTTACAGAAGTGTAAGACTTGCAAAGTTGCACAAAGATTTTTTGCTGAAGATATCAGCTTGGATTGAAAAATCTGAACGGCAATTCTTGATACAGTTCGGGCTGTACAAGTTGCGAGTCTTGAAGCGTATGACAGACTACCGGCCGACATCATTTTACTATAGAAACTAAACACATGGTTCAAAATGGTAGATCTTTCATTTTCCTCTGAATAATTGGCTAGTCAATTTTGCTTGAATTGGAGACCTGGAAGGATATGGACTCGGTGATTCGGAAACGCTCGCATAAAAACGCCAAGATTCCGATCCTTGTAAGGTGATGGATGTGACTGACCTAAACTGTTCTCAGTGTACCTGCTGCCTTTGGACAACACCTCTAGCATTTGAAAGTATTGTAATTATCTTACAAATTTCGTTTAAAACCAAAATAGAAGCATTTTCCAGTGACTGGACCAAACATGGAAAAACACTGGATATGGACTATGAAACTAGACATTGCATAATCGTTTGTAATACCTCTGGAGCTAAAATTTGAGTTGCTCCAATTATAAATTATGCTCTCGACATAGGAAAAAAGAAATAAACTCTGAAAGGAAGTAAGAAATTTGCATTGCCATGAGGAACATTGCGTGTTTCATTGATTTTTGACGACCATGTCAACTTCAAGGGAAATCTGATGGAAAGGATCGGAAGCACAGGACGCTTGAGAATATGGGACTTGAAAGATAGTTCTAGAAAACAGCGCTTAACCCGCATTTACGGCTTACACAAATTACGAATGAAGGAAGAATCGGAGAAAATAGAGCTGCGAGAGCACAATTTCAGGATAAGGTCAATCAAATGATGTGATTAGTAAGTAACGGTTGCAAACCATGAGACCGTATGGAAGAGTTGAGAGAAATTATGAATGGTGAATACCTGATGAAGAAAAGAGGATTTTAAACACTATGCAAAAATAAACACATTTTAAAATGTGATTAAATGTTTAATCACGCACTATTGAAGTGATAGGGCGAGAAACACTTTTTAGGTTAGAAATTTTGACACACACGTCAAGTCAGAAGGTTAGCCGGAACGACCAACCAGAGCTCAGATAAAGCGAGCGGGAAAAATTTTGAGTTTTGAAATCAGTAGTGCTTCAATTCTGATTTCCGCAACTGGACTTTTCCGGGACCGGTAATTGAGTCAGCTGATTTCCTGGTTACAGGGTTGCATTTTCTTTGACCTTAGACAGTGGTAGTGCCTACAATCAGACCAACTTCATCGGCATTGCCTACAAATTTTCATGAGTAAGTTCACTCCAGTCCAAGGGAAATTCACTACATTAAAAAGCACTCAGGTGATTTTATATTCTTGGAAGTAAAGAAAATCATGAGAAGATATTAGGCTAGAATGAAATGCAGTTGAGTTGTATTCTAGTAATATCAGTTGATTAATGTGGTCCTAGGGAGGTTCCTCTTTCCTGCAAATATAAATGAAACCTAACCCATGCTTGTTGCATTCCCGGCTAATCCTAAGATTGGCACATGAATTCGGATATATTCATGACATTCCTTGTGCATGTATGTTTGGTTAGGAAAAGCTCTTTCAGAAACTAATAGCCCCTCATTCCAAGTCCATTTGTTAATAATAAGAAAAACCAAGAATAGCAAATCTATCTTAAGGAAATCCAAATTTAGGTGAGGTGCTTTTAGATATATGTAGGACAAATTTTCTCTTCCCACCAGAGAACACTTTCTTGGATAGGTGTAGCCTCCTATTTACTTTCATTAGAATGGTCCATTCTTTCCAAACAATTAATTTGAAGACAAAAAAGGTGAAGATAAAACATTTTCAAAAGTTTTTGGCTGCAATTATGTTTCTTACTGAAGACTTGGGTCGGCAAGATTTTCCTTTGTTCTTTTTCAATTTTAGCACCTCAAACATCTATTTACTTTGTCTTCTTAGTTCCAAAATAAAAAGTCATCCGAACTTCATCTTTCATTAATTACAAGGTTCGAAGTAAGGGAGCAAAAAATTGAGCTCCCCTGATAGGCTAGGGGCATAATAACTTTACAAAGAAGTAGAATTTAAGCCAGAAAAAAATTAAGGTGATCTTTTAGGAGGAAAAAAGATCTTCAATTGCAATGATTGATAGTCTAACAAAAAAGCTTTACAGTTTAAAAAAAAAAAAAAAAGAAACACCCTTACACAATTTCAAAATGAATAGGATTCAGTGGCGTGGCGTACTTTGTGACCTATCGATATTTCCCCACTTGAAGCTGTGGTAAATAATCGATTATTAAGGTGTTCGCTGCGAACACCCTGTTTATTGATACACTTCCATAGGTTTAAATGGCCAATCAATGATATATCACAAAACATGCCACACCATTGATGAGAACAGTTGTCCTTGAAGATTCGACCTATTCCTGATAAATTGCCTAAATGATTAGGATAAACATCAAAAATGTTCACTCAGCTGATACTTCAGCAGAATCTCATAATAATAGGAAAGAAAAGAACCGGGAACTAAACAGAGAAAAGTGAGATAAAACAATTTTAAAATCAGAATATTTTTTAATTTGATTTTCTTAATTAGATGGAAGTACAAATAAGGCTTAAATGGGTAAACAACTACTTAGAGTAGACAAGACGATAAAACATTTAAAAAGGCGTGAATCTTAAGAGTAAATTCATTGTATAACAAAAATTAAAACACAGGGATAACAGATGTACAGTTTCAATTTTCACTGGATAAATATTCATTAAAATTCTTCAAACCAATGAACTGATTGATTGCAGTGGTTTGTGAGATCCTATCTGTGACCGAAAAGTACGGAGTTGGCAAATGCAACGATTTAAAAATGCAACTATAGGAGCTGAGTTTTATCTTGACGAGGAACCGGCTGATGAGGGTTTCACTAGTTTTCGTAGACCCATGAGTAACTAGCTGGCTGCCAGTTGAAGATTTCTTTCTCAGGGAACCAGAGACTGATTTCTTTCTTGGCCGAATCGACAGAGTCTGATCCATGAATGATGTTTCTGAAACAAACAAAAAACAGGTAAATTTGTGAAATTAAGAGAAAATGGTACACTCATAAATAGAAAACCATAATAATTCCGCACAACTACATCTCCTAGAAATCTCAATGCAAGTTCTTGTCCTGTGAAGCAATAGCCTCTTATTTGACCAGCTTTAAAACCTTCTCACAAGGTCTTACAAGTTTATGAGGATGTTACTGCACACTTTAGAACTCTCAGTGACGTTCATTTATAAGGAACATTGATGAATGCGTGCTTCAGGAGGAAACTGAAGTGAATATCTGTGTCTTGAGATGTCAGCACATCCAAAGGTTAAATGACTCATTAGATGCTTCCTGTCAAGACAATGATTACTTTGCCCCAAGATTAAATTGAGATTTGGCACTTTCAAAGCTATTTAGAACTTTGAAAGCGTGGCTCCGGGGTTCTACAGTTAGACATTCATGCCTAGACTTCTGACACTATCTGAAAATGAAGTGGAATTTTCCCTAATTAATGTGCTTGCAGTACTTGATAATAGAATATTAGGTGAATAAATGTTGTCCACGACAGGTTCATGATGACCATGTGGATCATCTGAGTTTATGAGGACTTTAGTATGCCTCCAGCGGAAAGTTTTGCTGAATCACTTACAAAATAAATAATTGATTCAGCATTTTGGAGGTTCATACATAGTAATATTTACTTCTTTCTTTACACAGCTATGTCCAACTTGAGAAAACCTAGACGAATGTTAGTTCAAGAAAATATCAAAGTAATAAAACTGTATCTTGAGATGTCAGAACATCTACAGGTATTGTTACTTGTTAGATGCTTCCTAGCAAGACAATGGTTACTTTCCCCCAAGATAATTGAAATTTGGCACTGTCAACACCATTTGGAACATTGAAAGCGTGGCTTTGGGGTTTAATGATAAAATGTTCATTTGCACAACTTATGTATGATTTAATAAAACCACCAACATCATTCCCGATTCATGTCTTTTAGACAAATCAGTGCATACAAAACTGTTGTCCACGACAGGTTCATAATGACCATGGAGGGTCACCTGAGTTTATGAGGACTTTTCTATCCCTCCAACGGAAAGCTATGCTGAATCACTCAGAATAAGTAAATGAATGTTTCAGTATTTTGGAGGTTCATACAAAAAAAAAAATATATTAAATTTTTATCAGCCTTAGGCAGCTTAAGAAAACTTTGACAAACGTACAGTTCAAGAAAAAATCAAAGCATGAGTTTGTATCTTGAGATGTCAGCACATCTACAGGTAAAATTACTCATTAGATGCTTCCTAACAAGACAATGATTACTGTTCCCCAAGATTTTTTAAATTTGGCACTATCAAAGTCATTTGGAACTTTGAAAGCGTGGCTTCGGGGTTCTAGAACTATACGATCAACTCACTTTTAATTTGAAGTTTTCCAGAAAATAAATGCAGTTTTCCTGGATTAATATAATTAAAGGAATTTATTAAAAAATTTGAAGAAACTAATGTTGTCCACGACAGGTTCATAATGACCATGAAGGGTCATCTGAGTTTATGAGGACCTTTCTATACCTCCAACGGAAAGCTATGCTGAATTACTCCCAAGAGAGTACGAGTTTTCTAGCATTATGGAGGTTTACAGGAAAATATTCTGCATTTCTTACATAGCTATATACAAATTGATGAGAAAATATGAAGGTGGAAGGAGGAAATCACATGAAATTGTTAGATAATAAAAATACTTAATAAAAACTTTCTCTCACTTGCTCCAAAAAAAAAAATCTAGTTTTAAGTTGCGTTTCTGCAATGCGGTGAATAGTCTAAACGAGAACGGAGACTAAATCTTTAAAGGCACATGAGTGAATACTTTTTAGTAAAATTGTATTATTGAACTATAGAAAGCATTGATAAAAGTATAATTCAAGAAAAAATCTTATTAAAAGTTTGTATCTTGAGATGTCAGCACATCTAAGGGTGAAATAACTCATTAGATGCTTCCTAACAAGACAATGATTACTGTTCCCCAAAATTTTATAAATTTGGCACTTTCAAAGTCATTTGTAAAATTGAAAGCGTGGCTCCGGGGTTTAACAATTAAAAACAATTCCAGAATGATCTGAAAATGAATTCGAATGAAATGAAATTAAGATGCTCAGAGGAATTTAAAATAGAAAAAAAAGGTGAATTAATGCTATCCACAATAGGTTCACTATGACCAAGTGGATCATCTGCTTTCATGAGGACTTCTCTATACCTCCAACAGAAAGCTAGGCTGAATCACTCGCAGTAGTGAGCAAGTTTTTCAGTATCATGAGGGCCCATAACAAAATTTACGTCATTTCTTACACAGTCATGCACAGCTAAAAGAAAACATTAATGAATGTGTAGTCAGAGAGAGTCAAAACATAAGTCTGTATCTTGAGATGTCAGCTCATCTAAAGGTAAAATGAGCCATTAGATGCTTCCTAACAAGACAATGATTATTTTACCCTAACTTCATGGATAGAACCACACACGATCCTTATGCAGAATCCCCCGGTTAAATCTGATGAAACCTCATTTCATTGCTTTGTCACGCTGACAGAAAGCTCTCCTCATAAGTCAACTTGCAGCAGGCACCAATCCAAAGGAAGAGGCCGACCCCGGGGGCAGTTACTCTGAGTCACCTTCGAAAACCTGGGTTTATTAATGACATCAGGTTTGACCGGGAAGATTTCCCACAACAATCCGGCGTAGTTCTTTGCAACTATCTGAGTCATTTGGAACTAAGAGAGCATGATTCTAGGGTTTCACTGAGAGGATATTAATTTCACATCAGGCACTATCTAAAAAAAATAAAACAGCTGGAATATCTTACTTAAACAATTACAGAGCTTTTCAACAGAGAAGTACATGGAGGATGTTGTCCATCAACAGGTTCACAATGAACAGGAAAGGTCATCTGAGTTTACGAGGACTTGTTTCCACCTCCAAAAAAAACTTGGCCCTCTCATTTACCTAATAATACATCTACAAGTGTTCCAGCATCAGACGAAGGCTGTTAGAGATATTAGATTTATCTGCCTCTCAATCGCAAGCATTTCAAGCAGATCATTTAGTACGGGAATCATGAAATTATGTATTAATGTAAAAGCCTCTGGCTACAGCTAAGAGCAAAGCAAGGAAAAACATTTCAGGTTTACCTTCCAACTTGGATGCAGAAGTCTCCTCTGATGGTTCCGGGAGCTGAGTCTTTGGGGTCGGTTGCACCAAGCATTTGACGTCCAGTTTTAACAACGTTCAAACCTTCCCAAACCTGAAATCCATAAATATCAGTGTCAAATAAAGTCTTAAACACTCATAGAAGATAAAAACATTGTAGTATTTCAAAGAGTAAGGGCCTTCAGGTTCTACGTGCGATACTTAAATAAGAATTTGGAGAGGTTGAAAATTTTGTAAAACTTCCATTTCTTTGCAAAAGTCTTGTTGGAGGTAGTTAGGCAGCCTTGTATATTTTAAGAAAAAAGGCTAGTATTCATTGTGGCTATCTCTACCTTTTAGGCTTACGGACTTCAAGAATTATTTAAAAAAAAATAAAAATGACAAAAATAAGAGAGCTCTGAGAAGACAGGGCAAAGTGTAGAAACTGCTGTTGCCCATTACTCCCAATAAAGGAGGGTACGCCGTCATTGCACATAGAAAAATAAGCTAGTTCTCTACTAATTTTAGCATTGAAAAGGCTCAGTTTTTGTCCTTCCCCCTCCAGTCATCTGTAGAAGGAACTAATGACAAATTGGGGTTGAATATGGGAGAAGGCTATTGGAAAGTTTCGACCTAGGAGCACATGCGTAACAGCCTTAATCACAGCTGATTCCTCTCCAACTTCACCAATCTGCAAAAAAAAAAAATTAAAGAAAGGATAAGTAAGGTCTTACCATGGGCACAACTGGTCCAGAAGACATGTATTTAACTAGACCTGGGAAGAAAGGACGGGCGGAGAGGTCAGAGTAATGCTTCTTCAGGAGGTCTTCGTTGGCCTGGAAATACGATTGAAAAATTTAGTTTCAAGTAACATGCCAACAAAACCATACATTTAAAGCCAACCACTGATTTGCTTTTGATTTCAGTCCTGGATATCTTGAGGAAATAAAGAACATAATTGCAATGAAATAGAAAGCACTGACATCGAGGAATTACAGGAACTCGATTTTACAATCTAATAAGGGGCTACGCCCTAATTACTATGTATATAACAAGTGTTAGCGAAAATGTTCTTAGTTCCATGTGGAGCAAAAAACGCGACATGTATAATGATGAGAAATTGTCTCAGTGGTCTTGAGCTGATTTTCTCCCAGATTCAGTGAATATGTGAGCTATTCTTTACAAGACCACAAGGGAACTCTCAATTTCATAGATAGAAAAAAGAGAAATGAATCAGGGAGACCGTTTGCATTTTAGTAGATACATGAAGATCTACAAATGAAAATATACCAACCACCTTCTGTTTTCTTTCCATGGACAAGATAGCATTGAAATATAATTTAAGAAAGGAATTGAGACAGTTACCAAAGTTACCAAGAGTGCAATAACGATTGCATGAATTTTCATTCCCTCATGGCCTGTCATGACAGTGCAACAGATCATGAGAAATCTTCGAATATGGATCTGTTTGAAATTAATAGGAAGAGATAAGGTTGAAGCAAACTGAAACCTGGTAACCAACGATTGAAAAGCTTAAATGAAACCGAATTCATGAGTTTCCAAGCCCTCATGGCCATTCACAGCTGGGAGGCAGAAAATGCAACCCCTTCCGGCATGGTTACCTCGCATTGAAAAAAGTAATCTTCGTGATACTTGAGGGGCAATTAAATTAATTAGATTGCGATAGGATCAACGACCTAACTTAATTGACAAGGAATGAAGCTGTCTAATGTCAAGCAGGTTATCAGAGAGAAGCCTAACATGTGATAACCACACGACAGGTCTACGGAGCCTCATGAGAGGGGCCTTTCAGAGGTTGCCCTTAAAACTGGGGTTGCTTCGGCAAGATTCAATTTAAGAGATTAGAATTGGACAAATGTGATGCTGCTACGATGAATGATAGGAATAAGGGATGATAGAGAGGAAAGAATAAACTTACGTGGACCAACTTCATGGCGACCAGCTTGAAGCCCTTGCTCTCGAATCGCTCGATAATTTTACCGACGAGTCCTCGTTGAACTCCATCGGGTTTGATCATGATGAAGGATCTCTCTTTGTTGTCAGCCATACTTTGGATGCTAAATATTACGATCACAGAAATAGAAAGCAACGAGAAAATTGAGGAAAATTACTAGTGATTCACGCACTCACAGCCGGCGAAAAGTAAAATGGACGGGACGGAAGAAGAAGAACAGGGATGCTCATCTGACATTTAAAAAAAAACACTAAAAATAGGTACAAACGGCCTTGAACCGTTAAAACGCATTTACGTTCGCAATATTATCATGCATTACATTTTGGGGATATGAAAATTATTTCTAATAAATTAACGATAGTATTGAGGGTTTCAATCCATTTCTGGTGTCGATTGAGATTTTTTAAAATCATGTGGCACATCAAAAAAATTTTATTTTTAAGGTTGGTCATTAAGTCCGACAAAATACCGCGAATTTTAAAAAAAGTTCTCTCCAGTTGATCCCTGGGAGAACAAACTACTATCCACCACTTCTCATGCACCACAGACCACCATTTATTAATTAATGTCATAGAATATTTATATTACAGTTTATGACTATATTTATTCATCAACTTCGGCGAGAATGAAAAAAATTGATGAAATCGCAAGACTACAGACTCTACGGAAGGACCTGATGATGGATTCATTGATTGCTGTAATTGATTACCCAAAAACGCTATGGAGAGTTAGCTCTATGACTTTATGAAAAGAAAGCAAAGAATCATACACCAAGAAATTTCCAAATTACAGAGGTCCTCTTTATCCCAGGAGATTCGCAACATAAATTTCTACAAAATTTTTGGTTGAAAATTTATCTGGCGATAATTTATTGCCTAGCTTCAGAAGATAACAACTGTCAAGTCTAAAAAAATAATGGTTTGAAATTACTAACGACTACTCTTCTATTATTTATTAATGGGAAAAAAGAGAAGAAAAAAATCTGAATGGATCACATTAACCACTGTAGCCAGTTTCTTATACATTTAAAAGACAGGTGAGCCGCTAAACCTTTGCAATTACAATATATTTTGTTCCCAGCGAATGCTGCTTGTGAGGTACTTAGGTTCCTCATGACGTTCATGTGGGGGCAACACTATTGTATGAAAATGAACAAAATGAAAACACCAAGTAATAATAGAATTATTTATTTGCTTGTTTCACAAGACCAATCAACCGTAAAACATTAGAATAAATCAACAACTGAACAAACCAAAAATATTACACGATGTAAGCGTCTTCCCAGCAAACATTAACAATTCATGGAGGACGAGCTACAAACTAACTGAACTTCAAGCATTGAAGCACTAACATTCACTTTAACTGGTAGAAAAACCTCCATTACCATAAAGGCAAAAAGCAAAAGTGTTTATCTATTGTGTGTGATGTAAATGGTTTTCTGAAAACTTTATTCGAAGTTCACAGAATTTCATAAAAATATAAATATTCAAAAACTCGCGAGTAAGATTGGACTTAAAGATAGAGACAATGTTTAAATGACTCTTGTTATTTAAAGAATCTCACTAGCTAAATACCTCGGGTACAGCTTATAAAAATGAAGGATTAGAATTTCAGGTGATTAAAAGGGTGAAAAAAAGCTCAAACTAGGTTCATACTACGATCAGACCAGACTTGTGCAGGGGTAAAATAAGTTTGCAAATACAAGTCCTGTATTTGAAATTTCTTGCTCCTTTAAAACTCCCTGTGATGAAGTTCCTACTTCTAGTCCTGTTAATGCAAACATGAAACCATGAACAGTATCTTAACACCTAATGCAGCTCTACGATTGTTGAACTAAAGTCAAGCAAATAAAAAGTATTCGAGTTAATAGTAAATCGAAGAAATTGAAGAATTGGCTTAAAACATTGGTTACAATCCCCCATGAAGACATATAATTATGCGAGACAGCAAAGTATCCGGCAAAAATTGACAATTAGCACATAAAAAATAAAATAATTAAATGAAAGAGTAAAAAATAAAATAAAATAAAACAAAAATATGGGTAAAAATATAAATAAATCAATGAATCCTTCAAAAGAGGGTTGGACCACATTAAACAGCAAATTCGACACTTTCTGCACGATCCAAATACCTAACATGATTGCAACTATGAAGCAATAAAGGAGAAAGGTAATTACATAATTAAAAGATACATACATTGGGCCCTGTTTTGAAGGCATTGAGGTTTCTTTTCAACAGAAAAATAGGATAAAGACATTTGAAAACACTATATGTAATTAAAAAAAAAAAATAAAAAAAATTACAGCTCAGTTGCAGGGTCGGAACAGGTTTTGTTGAGAAAAATGGCATTGGATGGGACATTACTAAAATAACCATCGGAAGAGTGGCTAAATTGGCAGGAACATCTTCATAAAAATAAAAGTTCTGAACAGCTGCGCAATCCACAAAGACTTTTGGAGCTTTTATTTGCTTCAGAATGTGTGTTAAATTTTTGAGGCTTTCGGATGGGTATCAAAATTTCAGGTTGATAATGGCTTCATTTCTACATGCAATTCTAAATTTACATCAAAATGGAAAAAAAGGGGAGGAGGACCTCAAAAACAAGATGCAATTAGAGTTCTGAAGAATTTTAGGTACACTGAAAGCAGTAAATTCAGCCTTTTCTTGTCCTGATCAATTAAATCATACACTGATATCAAAATAAAATCTGATTGACCAAAAAAAAAAAAATAAATAAATAAAGCAATAAATAAATAAATAAAAAGACAAAAACACTCAGAAAAAGGGTATCATTTTGTGTCTGAATTTATAAACATAACGAGGAAAGGTAGTAAAACAAAACAACCTAAATACTCAAACATAATGGAGAATGAAATGGACGGCTTGAACTAAAATGAACTGAACTGCAATTATTTCTCGTTGTCTAATATCTTCCTATATTTAAAGGAAAAATAAGCAATGTAATGTCTTGCAACTTATGATAAATTTCTTACAGATTGTGAAAATATTACTGGCTAGAGTTTAGAGTAGAATGCTTTTGAGTTTTCTGTTAAAAAATAAAAAACATGAAAGGGAATAGGACAATTTATCTGCAGTTGGGTTGACTTCGCTGAGGCCGTCCAAATGACATTAGGGTAACAAATGTGTGATTCAAAGCTGTAAAATCTGCCTGAAAAACAAAAGTGGAATGATCGCGAAGTATACAGGCGCCTTTTGGTGATTTCAAAAGCATTGATATAAGGAGTTACACACAATGAATACTGTATAAAGAAAAGAGGATCAAATAACTGCTTTGTACTTCTCAATAGGCAGATTTTACAATTTTTGCGGGCCTTACACACCAAAAATCATTATTACATGATTCCCTTCCTGAATGTTTCAGTTTCAGTTTTACAAAATTGTAACATAGGATATAGAAAAAGAGATGGTTTGTGATGTTTATAATAAAAGTAACGTGATGCAGTAGATGCAAGCTAACATTAATTTTTGCACCAAAATAATGAGCAAATCGTAAAATAAAAATTAAGCACCACAATTATTACACTGAAAGGTAATCCTGATAATTACATGGAAAGGTAATCCTGAAAAAAGTCTGAGGAAGATAAAATGAAGAGAAAGAGAGAAAGTTCAGGATAAATTTACTTCAAGTCTAGAGTAAATCAGAATTGATTTTGTGCCTACTTCCTTTCTTTTTCGATTGTAACTTCAGACTGTGATGTAAGAAAAGAGAATTTTATCTCTGTCAAAGTATGATATTGTTAATAATTAACAACATCAAAGTTTGTTTTGGTGAGTTCAGTTAGTTTAGAGAAAGTTACTGAACTCTTCTGAGAGAATAATCAAATTTCGAAATCATCGAATTTATTTTCAAAGAATTTTTCAGTGCTTATGATCAATATTCTGTCTTTTGGCAAAAAATTCTGTCTTTTCCAGACACAGGTAGAGAAGTGTGATGATTTATTCATCAATGAGAATCGAAAAGCACTGATGATTCTTAAATAGGTCTTAATACCCTGTAAATAAAAAATGAAATGCAATATCCGGCAGAGTGATTTTTGTCGCAGAAAAAATAAAAAGATAAACTTTTCATAAAAAAAAGACCGTATCCATACGATGATGGATATAAATACTGTAGAAGGCACAAGTATTGACAATGATTAGGAATACCAAAGATGGGGATTTTGGACTTCTTAACAGAAGTAAAGCTTAAAAACATTTAACATTTGATCAAAAATTGGAAACCCTACTTTAGAGTTGGTATTTTTGATCGGTTAAAATTTTGAAAAGTGATTCAGGCTTGGGGCCAGACCCAATATAGTTTTGGGCTACGCCAAATTAAACTAACCTCCGAGGTAGAAGTGACTGGAATGTATAATATCAGGAGAATGGTTGTACATCACCGACAGTATATGCTACACAAGTGGCGTGGTCAAGTTTTCCAGGCACCAACGCAAGTTTTCCGCAAATTTCTTTTCGCTTGCAACGCTGCTCGGAGCGACTTAGAGCTTTCCCTTCAGCACCAGAGTAGAGTTCTACATCCTCAAGAATACGTCTTTTAGCTGCGGTTAGGTGGGTTACGAAATCTAAAAGGAGTTTCACTAGCTCCTTGGCTGAAGTACATGAGGGACCTTTTCCAGAAACTCCGTGTTTCAATAAATCTTCAGTGCGCAGTAACGTTAGCCGATGTCTTTGATGGGCTTCTATGGATGGTAACCCTAGGACAAAGATAAAAATTAAAATTAGATTTTAAAAAAAAAAATTGAAAACAAATATATACTTTGGAATCATGCTTAAATTCTCAAATCTGGAAAAATTATAGCTTAGTGTCAGGATGAAAAATAAAAAAATTTGATGGTCAGAAACTTCAAGAGGGAAAAAATATTACGAGCTAATCTTTTAATGTAAATGTAAAACCAATGTTCAAACTAAATGTAAAAATTCTGTAAAATGTAAATTGAGTTGGTTAAAATATGCAAAGAGAATCTGAACTTACCGGCAAATTTCCCAACGACAGGGTCTAAATTGTCTGACACACCATCTGATGTGAGGAAAACAACATCTCCTGGAAAAACGTCTGTCATCGACAAGGTAAGGTTAGACAATTCTGGATTCTGACCGTCGACTGGCCCCAAAGCACCAAGAGCATCCCTCATGTCGCGCATGGAGTGCACATCATGAGAGCCTGCAATTACATAATTGCGGTTATTTACAACCATCATCTAAATGGAAACCAAATGACAAAAACAGCTGGGCTAGCAGAGCAAATACCTGCACTACAGCACTCAAACGTACCTATGATAGAAGGCATTTGGCTTGTCACAAGATGGGGAGAATCATTTATAATTTTTTAAAACAGGACGCGAGGAGTATTCATCATACATTCGCTGGGGAACTAAGTTTGCAACTGAAATTCTCCCTCGATCTTGTACTGGTACTCATTAAGGCTCTAAATTAGTGACTCTATTTGAAATTTTTGAACTTTTTATCCTTGTTTTCCCCACAAAATAGTGTGGACCTAGCACTATAATACCAACTGGTTTGCAACTAAGTACATATGAAAGTCTTGAAAATGAATTGATTTGCAGGTTTCCTAGGAGGCTCAATCAATCCTAAGTTGTGACACTCTAACACGACGAGAACATAATTCGAAAATATCAAAACTCTGGATGCCCAGGAAAAAGGGCACATCAAAATATTTTGAGGGCAGAGTATGCTGGATTGTATTTACGCTAGGAAGAAATACCCACAAGGGGATAAAGAAAGAAAAAATTAGAATGAGAGATTTACCTTGCGTTATTTCACGCACACCATACTTGGGACTGTAGACGTACGCTAGGCTATCCCCTACATTGCACGTACAAACGATGTACTTGTCTGGAACTGCTGATGGCAAAACTACTGCAGCTGTCAGGGTGGTGAGCATGCCTTGTTCTTGCAGGATCAATGTGTGGGCTGCATGGAAGGACCTTAGCAAGGCAATAAACACATCCTAGAAAAACAGACGAGTCATGCTCTGATGTTATTCAAGTCATGAAAAACAAAGTAAAGTTAAAGAAGCGCCTTGAAGACTGTTAAAAAAATAGTTCGGGAGTTTTCTGATCTGAGATTATGCACATGAGATGAATCTATACAGACAGGAGATTCAAGCTCAAAACTACGGAGATCTCCACAAATACATATTTTCAAAAGATGAATGAAAGGTAGAGATAGGCGGATTTTTAATTATAATAAAACTTGTTTCCTTGTATACTCGGAATTTAACGAAAGGAGGCAAAGGCTCGGATCCGTCAGCTTGTATACCTATTCATCACTTTATGGCAATGCATAGTTAGGTAAAAAATTTAAATTTTAAAGAATTTGAAATTAAAATTATGAAAATATTTAGTGTTAAAGAATGTGTTTGAGTAACCCACAACGAAGGATTTTTCACACAGATATCTTCTTCTTCAATTGTTCTAATTTATCAGGAGAGTCATTAAACAAAGTTGGTCACTTGAGGATTGAAGTATCTAGGGTGTCTACTAAAACAGGCAAGCCAAAAATCAGTACATACTTTTACAGTGCATTCCTAAGAAATTCAGTACCTACTTCTTCAATAGAAAAATTCAGCACTTCTTCAGTACCTCCGATTGACGAAATTCGAAAAATTTCAAAAATTTGAATTTTTCGCTCAAATTACGTCAAAAGAAAAAAATTCCAGACCTTCTGGGGGATTTCTGTAATTTTTCAGTTCTTCCCTACCACCCTTAAAAATCAGTACTTATTCTGATCTTTCCGGAAATTCCGGACTTGTAGATGCCTTGATATACCGACTCTCTTCATAAGATTTAGTAATTTGATATTCTTCCGATAGAATAATACTTACAGTGGTTGTGGTTACACCCTGAGTTGGTTTTGAAAATATGGCTTTATTCAGGTAATCAACGCAGCCATGAACAGCTGCACGCGCTGCCAAAGACGCTTTGTGTCCCCAATTTACCCCATCCGCTAGCACTATAATTGCAGAGTTCTTCCGACTAACAATTGCGAAGCAGTCTGCGATAGGCTCTCCCGCATGGACCCTTGTCAAGGGATGCATCTCATAGAGTGTCATGGAAGCTCCATATGCTCTGCTGTTCCCTGAACTCCACTCAGAGACACCTGCAATTTCTTTCTTCAATTCTGGAAAATTATTTAGAACAAAGTACATTAGAGTGATCACTGACAACTTCTAGTTCACTAATACTAAATCCAACAAGCCGGCTAAGTTGTAAGAGTCAAATTTTGAAAATTATTCATGACAGATGTTTTTTTGGCTTTTTTGAGTACATAGTATGTGATGACATACAATTTAGCAGATCAGATATTTGGACGGCAAAAAATAATTTAGAAATCAAGAGGAAATTTTATAAATGTAGCTAATTCATTGTAATGCCCTGATTTAGTCTGTACTTAGGAATTTTTTGATATTTTAAACTGTACTTACAGTGTGAAAAATCGCTCTGTAATATAATTAATAGCCATTTTGGGCGCGCTTCGCTTATCCATCATGGCTAGCCAGGGGGCTGCGCCCACTGGACTCCCAATCAGTCGACCACCAGGGTCTAATAGCGGAGGTTGACCCCCAGCATACGTCGAGATGCCGCATTGGGAATTTTTTTTTTCTTCCGTAGATGGATGATATAGTATCACCTACTTACCTATTGTAAAAGCATCCTGATTTACCTGGGTAGCTGAAAATTAGTTTTGTTGCTAGAACAAATGAGACAAATAAAACATTTAACAAACCTGAATTTTTGTTGATTTCAAAGTTAATTTTGCTATATGCGTCAGGAGCACTGTCTGACTTTTGAAGTGGATGGAACTCTAGACTTGACTTAGAAGATAATGGAGGTAGTAAAGTTGATAAGTTACTGTTTGCATCTCGTAACTGACGATCTGTTTCATCGACTGAAACAGAGTAAGAGATGATGAGCCATTCCTGATAGTATGAGTCTTTGATGAAAATTGAATATTTTTCCTCTTTTTTATTTGAGGCAGAATGCCATTTTTTAGTCACAAGACATCAAAAAAGAGTCTACATGATTTTGTGGGGGAAACAGAGCCATAAAAAACCAAAAATTGGAATTAGAGACTAAAAACTAACTTCTGGGTAAAAAGTAACTAATTCTCGTTCAAAACTAAGGAGGAGGAGCATTCAGTCCAAGCAGGTGCATAGTATACCGATGGCTCTCGTTTGATAAATAAGTACCTCAGATTGCAATTTTGTAAGTCTCTGCTAATTTGTTAAGAGGAAAACTGAAAAACAGTTTTTATTGAAATTTTCTGGGCAGTTTCTTCACTTATTCAAAAATAATCACACAAAATTTCGAGGAAACATTCTGATTATTTTTCTTTGAAGAGAGATTAACATAATCAGGACTAGGAGACATTTCAATTGCAAATTGACTATGCAAATTTTTTGTATTTAAGTGGCCATTGTTATGTTCTGCTGCAATTTTTCCCCAGCAGATTTCTGACTCTTCTTTTTAACAGTATTTGAGCCATTATTTATGTGCTTTCATTCCCTCGATTTATAGATATCAAATCTGTAAGTAATTCTGGACTATTCAAAATTTTCATTACCGGACTTATAGGGGACTGTAAGTTTGAATATTGCAGTTCTATTGTAGTGAGGGAGATTATATAAGTCTTCAATTATGAAGTCTCTCTACAGTTAGAGACAAAGCCTTGACCACTTCATTGGAATCAAACATAATTTTTTGATGGCTCATAAATGTTTTCTACTACAGGAAAAAATATAGGAGAGGACAAACCATTTCGGCAGCTGATTTCATCATCAACAACATCGATGAAATGCACATCTGGATCACTCGTTGACAGACATCTTTGTTGCTGGTTTACCGTTGTCAACCCTCCGCCTGGGCCAGTCATTGCTGTGATGACTGGGTATGAAAGTTGACCCACTTTTTGGGATGGAAGCTCCTGGTACGACCTTCCATGAAGGATTTTCGGCTCATCTCTGTGGGCTTCTTTCCTAAAAAAATAAAATACCTCAATCATATTTTTAAATGTGAATGATAGAAATGTGGTGGAATAATTAAGAAAGATAGATTACGTAGATACATAGAGAATCAATTTTCCTCAAATTCATTTTATTTCCGTACATTTTAAAAGGGAAACACCATTGGAATCCAAGATCTTGACAGAATTGTAGAATCACGATTAAATACAGCAAGATATCGATGGCTAAAATGGGAAACCTTGTATCTTCATCTACAACATTGTAGACTTCCGGTCATACTTAATTTTTTCTTTGGTGAACTAGTCAACGTAATTTCTTGAAAACTTCCTCAACTTTGTTTAACTCTCTGTTAGAATATTCTAAGCAAATTTCAAGCCATAAAATTAGCTGCTTTCTCTGGAAAGTAGAAAAAGGTAGGGGCCGAAATTTTGAAACATAGCAATGGAGATACGTGGTGTCGCACTTCGGCTATCAATATGAGGTTGTAACAAATATCAAAGCAAAGGATTCTAGATATTGAGTCATGTTTGAAAAGGATGACAGAAATTGCAAAGTTATGACTTCTTTTTGAACGTAATGTTCATTTTGACCCTAAGGTTTAAGCACTGTCATGGGTCATTTTAGTGTGATGAAAATTGGTTCAAAGAACTCCAGTTTTAAGGAATTAGGAAATCGCTGACTGAAGCCATAGCGGCAAAATATACGTTAGTACTTACTCAGACAGAAAAACAATGAAAGGTCTCTGATGTACAGAGCCATACTGTTAGAGTAGATGGAAACAACCTGTGTGAAAATGTTCAAACGAACCTGTTCAAGTACTGTTGTATAAAAGCAGAGGATGCGACGGAAACATCGGCCTCAGGTCTGGTGTCTGAGGGAGCGGAGAGCTGCCGTATCAGACCTGCAATTTTTTGACGGAACGAGGGCATAGTTAACAAAGAAAAAGCTGGCACACTGAATTGCAAAACTGTCCTTGGGTGAATACATGCACTAATGCTTCAGGACTCTGATAGCAGGTGGGTGAAGTTGAGACTGAAAGTGAACTTCAACATGGAATGCTGAACTTCTCACCTACAGATCGGGATGAAACCGAAGATTTCAAATGAATTATTGCACAGTGCATAATCACACGCAATACACAAGACGTGGAAATTTTATTTCCCTAGGAAAATTGAAGTGAAGTGGTGGAATTGGGTAATGGCACTAGGGAGCCATTTGTAACAATAGCACAAAAGTAAACAAACAAAACGGAAATGGTTCGTTGCCATATTCTGTTTTTTCGTTCCTTTGTCGGAAATACCGCGGAAACCGGGACCGAAAGAGACGTTTCTTTCGAAAAAGAGCGCTAAATTTTAAATTGACGCTCCTGTCAAAAAAGAGCGCACCTTTTAATTTCAGGAATTAATTGATATTTACAAAATCCATAGTTCTAGTTTACGAGTATAAAACAGATTATTTTGCTAGCTGTCTATGAATATAACGTTTATCAACGGTGTAAGTAAGTCGTCAATCAAATTACTCGGTTTGCGACGTCGCAGACTTCCTGTCATATGTACTTTATTTTTTAAACGGAAAACAACTGAACGGCAATTCTTTATAACTGCCGTGATTTTTCTTCTCTGTACGAGGAAAATTCTGCATAATCTTCAAGGAATGATGTCAATTCGTTCTCCTTTAAAAAAATAACATGGAGGCGGAGATTTTCAAACACCGCAAACGAGATATCGATGGTGAAAGTGCAGAAGTGCGTACCTCAATTTTTGACCGTTTTGAGTTAGCTCCATAAACGTGTTTTGAGGATTTCGTTTATCCGCCAACAAGAGACTATAATCGAAAAAAATCGGGAAGTCACCTAAAACCGTAAAATTTTTTTTGCGTATCTGAGGCTTAAGTGCAGAAATGGTAACTCGTTCTGGCTGTTCTGGCCTCTTCATTTGATCCGGCGCGCCTTACGCACAACGCGCGCTCCTCAGTGATTTTTTCATGAATTTATAGTTTATTGAGGGTAAAGATAAAACTTGTTTGGATGATCAGTTTATGTTTGCAAGGTAAATAAATTTGCACAATCTTAGCAACATTGGAATGCTCCTGGTTCCTTTTTGCAAAATGCTATCCAGTTGTAAAAGAGTCAATCGAGACACACAATGCATCATCTACCATGGTGGCTCCACCCACGGGTCAAAAGTGTGATTACCTCGATTGAGAGAAGTCCCTATATACCTCCCTGAGGGATAGTCTAGAGTACCTTTATAGACAGAGTATGGCCATTCCTATCTTTTTACTACCGGAAAACTGTTCCGCTTTTTGATTGGTCAACGAGTTTTTAGGTTTCATGATGCTCTTAGGGCCGTATATAAACAAACAAGATGGCGACTCACCGTAACATCAATAAGAAGCTAAATTTGACAAATATTTCAATTATACGGCAGTAACAATTTAAACTAGCAAATCTACGAATAACACAAGAAAAAAACAAAAATGCAGGCTGGGCCTCGTAATTTGGTCCGCGATGGTAGTGGCGAGCCCGAATCCGGGTGCCCCGAAAAAACACCGGAGTGCTTTCCGACCAAGACCCCTGGAAAGACCGGCCGTAAACGGGGACTAAGGCTCAACATGGATTGGTTCATACGCTGTTTTGTCCTTTCTCTCTCTCGCACTCATTGCTCAGATGCGGCACGTCAAAGGAGCACACTCGGCTTTGACAAGCCGCCGTTTTATCGTATATCCCTCTCCCACTCATTGATCAGATGCGGCAACCCGCGGCTCGTCAAAGGGACACAAACACACTCGCAAAAATACAGGCTGGGCCTCGTAATTTGGTCCGCGGTGGTAGTGGCGAGCC